CTAGTATAAGGGCAGGGTTATCCAAGATGGAGGGCAAAATATTGATTGAACAATATAAAAAATCTAATTTTAAATGGAAGTAACAGGGTATCAGATTTGCCAGACTGTGAGAAGCCCTCTCATAAAGACGTCTGTAGCGATATAGGTTGCTAATGAGAGCTGAGATAAAACGGCACGGATCTATTGGTAAAAGGGAAGTAATTCTAAACAAAAGAACATAATCTAGGCATTACTCCAAGCAATTATGCCACAGGAGATAAGATCGTGTCATATTATGTAACCAACGAGAGCATTCATCTCGTGCCATTATCTCCCCCCCCCCTCTTGTGATACGTTGGCTTGCTAGTGTCCAGGTATATGAGCACTGAAAAGTGGTACATTCTCAACATGGGCGGGATACGAGTTGGATGGGCGGGGCCACTGATGGGTTCTAAATATGGGCGGGACTATGAGACAATGAAACATACACATGGGGCCCACAAACTTCAGCACTGTGTAATAAACCAAACTAGATCTAGATCAAGTCATTATTTGACTAAACCCGCACATGAATGAAAACTTAACGTAAGATGTGGGATACGTCTATAATGTTGACATTCCACATTCGCGCTAGTGTGTCGGGATTTATATTTGTTTATCGGCGTAAGGAAACATTCTTGGGAACTTGATATGAAAAGGGAAAGGCGATGTAGCCAACAGACCGGAAGTAGATACGAGCGTTGCTGCAGCTTTGTCGCGAGCGAGCACACACTCGGGTCAACTCCAATCAGATGCCGCGCTTGTGGTCGACACCATCAGGGACCGCTGATGAAGACTTCGTTACCCCGTAGAGAAGAAGCCTTTATGTCAGAACCGTGGAGGCTGGTGTAAAAATAGACCAGACAGAGGGGGCTTTGAGTGGAACAAGAGCGGGGTTTTCTAGGGGTGTGTTTAGACAGTACACAGCTCAACGCCGACTCTCGCTGTTACGCCCTTTTGTCTCACTTTACTGGTGTACATGTACACACGTGTACGTCTTTCTCAGCCTAAAAATACATGTACGCCTGTCTTAGCGTCGTTATGTACACATCAACATTCGAATCACAAATGGCACACTGGGAAAAATATCGCTTGAAAAAAACAATCTTTAAATTACAACTTGAATGTAGACTACATTGCAATTGAGAAGCATTAATCTAGTATTACAATAGTTAATCAAGTTGATCTCCATATTTGTGTGATTACAAAAATTTACTAACAAAGAAATAATTTGTAGCGTAAGCCTGTACAATTTTAGATATAATTGGTTGAAAGTATTACCGTGTTATTATCGGACTAAAAATAAAAATAAGAGAATTATTTTCTAAATACCATAAGTCATGCACATCAGGTTAAAAACGTAATTTTTATAATGAAAAAACTTGAAGGTGGTAGAGCTTGAAAGAATGAAAAAACTTGAAGGTGGTAGAGCTTGGAAGAATGAAAGGGAGGGTGTAGCTTGATTTGCTGGATTATTTATCATAGCAGGACTGTGGGCGTGTCCTTTATCTGGTTTGGTAAAGGGCGATATTATGTTGAGGCAAATACCAGAGGAGAGATTCAAAGACAGCCTCCACTGTGTGAGGCCCAGCTACATGAACACGGCCCAGCTACATGAACATAGCCCAGCTACATGAACACGGCCCAGCTACATGAACATAGCACAGCTAGTACATGAACACGGCCCAGCTACATGAACACGGCCCAGCTACATGAACACGGCCCAGCTACATGAACACGACCCAGCTACATGAACACGGCCCAGCTACATGAACACGGCCCAGCTACATGAACACGGCCCAGCTACATGAACACGGCCCAGCTACATGAACACGGCCCAGCTACATGAACATAGCACAGCTACATAAACACGGCCCAGCTACATGAACACGGCCCAGCTACATGAACACGGCCCAGCTACATGAACACGGCCCAGCTACATGAACACGGCCCAGCTACATGAACACGGCCCAGCTAGTACATGAACACGGCCCAGCTACATGAACACGGCCCAGCTACATGAACACGGCCCAGCTACATGAACACGGCCCAGCTACATGAACACGGCCCAGCTACATGAACACGGCCCAGCTACATGAACATAGCACAGCTACATAAACACGGCCCAGCTACATGAACACGGCCCAGCTACATGAACACGGCCCAGCTACATGAACACGGCCCAGCTACATGAACACGGCCCAGCTACATGAACACGGCCCAGCTAGTACATGAACACGGCCCAGCTACATGAACACGGCCCAGCTACATGAACACGGCCCAGCTACATGAACACGGCCCAGCTACATGAACATAGCACAGCTACATGAACATAGCACAGCTACATGAACACGGCCCAGCTACATGAACACGGCCCAGCTACATGAACATAGCACAGCTACATGAACACGGCCCAGCTACATGAACACGGCCCAGCTACATGAACATAGCACAGCTACATGAACACGGCCCAGCTACATGAACACGGCCCAGCTACATGAACATAGCACAGCTACATGAACACGGCCCAGCTACATGAACACGGCCCAGCTAGTACATGAACACGGCCCAGCTACATGAACACGGCCCAGCTACATGAACACGGCCCAGCTACATGAACACGGCCCAGCTACATGAACACGGCCCAACTAGTACATGAACACGGCCCAGCTAGTACATGAACACGGCCCAGCTACATGAACACGGCCAAGCTAGTACATGAACACGGCCCAGCTACATGAACACGGCCCAGCTACATGAACACGGCCCAGCTACATGAACACGGCCCAGCTACATGAACAAGGCCCAGCTACATGAACACGGCCCAGCTACATGAACACGGCCCAGCTACATGAACACGGCCCAGCTACATGAACACGGCCCAGCTACATGAACACGGCCCAGCTACATGAACACGGCCCAGCTACATAAACACGGCCCAGCTACATGAACACGGCCCAGCTACATGAACACGGCCCAGCTACATGAACACGGCCCAGCTACATGAACACGGCCCAGCTACATGAACACGGCCCAGCTACATGAACACGGCCCAGCTACATGAACACGGCCCAGCTACATGAACACGGCCCAGCTACATGAACACGGCCCAGCTACATGAACACGGCCCAACTCACCTTCAGGTGGAATCGATTCCGGAAATTCCCCTTCAAGACATCGGTATGGAGCAGCAGTGCTGGGTCACGGCAACTGGCGGGAAGGGGCCGGTAGAAAATATAACGGCAGTTTAGAAGTAACGGTCATTAAACCCTGACTTCCAATCAACGCAGCTTCACATGATCATGGGGGAGTGGGGGGAGGGGTGTAACTGGCTAGGCCAGTAGGAAAAGATGAGCAGACTACTGTATGAGGTCTGATGTTGTTTAGAGCACACTATCTATGTGTTGACTGGTTCTTCCCTGGTCAATGTCCGAGCCAGCCCAGTCCCTCAATAGCAAGCCGGTGTAATTAAAAACAGGCCTATCAACATGTTCACAAGCATGTCAATTGTAAAAGCACTCGCTCTATACTCGCGAGACACATCTAGCTCTACTTTATTTTAAAAGATGGCAAAAACTATACAGATCATAGAAATAGTCGTGTGCTCTTTGGAGAATACTGAAATTATTTATATAGTAGTATGGTTTAATTACATTATGTACTGTGATTTAATAGTCGCGTATTGACATCAGCACCAATTATGCTAATTGTTAAAAAAAAATATATAAATACTATACACTAAAAAAAACAATCAGGCAGGCAATGTAATTTTCTAAAACTTGAACCGTTCACAGGCCAGCGTGTTCTAATAACGAAACAAAGCGATCCTCCCTCTCCGGCAATTACTTGCCCATACGTTTTGAAATCTTTGTTACGGCGAGCAGGGCGTGGTCTTACATTAACGAGCCTTCACAATTTAGCTCGGAGCTAAATGTTAATTCCCCAGCCCCTCCCCACAGTTTTTGTTTCCACCGTTTCCTGGGTGAGACCGGAATATTATGTGTCCTGGTCATTAGTGGGTCATTATGTGTCCTGGTCATTAGTGGGTCATTATGTGTCCTGGTCATTAGTTGGTCATTATGTGTCCTGGTCATTAATTGGTCATTATGTGTCCTGGTCATTAGTGGGTCATTATGTGTCCTGGTCATTAGTGGGTCATTATGTGTCCTGGTCATTAGTTGGTCATTATGTGTCCTGGTCATTAGTGGGTCACTATGTGTCCTGGTCATTAGTGGGTCATTATGTGTCCTGGTCATTAGTTGGTCAATATGTGTCCTGGTCATTAGTTGGTTTGGTAGATGAACAATTAAAATTCTACACACTTTAACTATGGTTTTTATTTTTTTATTTAATCCTTTTCAGCTACGATTATTTCCCCTTTTTTTTTAAATTGCAGGGAATATCATATTTAATTTCCCCACATGATAATTTGATAAAAGGATTTTTCTAAATAAAAGGGAGATGGAAATAAAAAAGTGTCTGCTAGTCTTATAATATAGAAAAAAAATTTTTAGCTCATTTTCCCAAACATTTTAAACACCCAGCACACTAGTGAAGCTGATATGACTGCATGGAAACTATTTCTAAGTATTAGTTTAGATGCAGTTACAAATACATTTTATTTTAGGAAAGACATATCACTGAAATTAACTATTTGAAGAAAATTGTGTAGTTTATCTTTCAGATATTATTTTTATAAATTATTTTAAGAGCTCCTGCTTTTGAGTCAGTGTCCATATTGATTATGTAGGCCAACACTTTTATTCAACAAGTTGATTTAGATGTTAGTAATAAATGGTGCGCAACTAAATTAAGCTTTTATAACAAAAAGTGCACATTTTTAAAATGTTCATATTATTTAGCAGTTCACTAATAGAATGTGTATCTAGTCTGTGCATACATCAAAGTTTAAGTTATTCTATTGAACACTAGATATATGAAATATTGACAGTATTGAAGTTACATGAAATAAAGCTACTCACATAAAGCTTATCATGCGACCAGCCGAAGAATGGGAAATGAACAGTGAGGTTGATGGCGCCAGAGCTCCCATCGTCTGTCCTAGGCGTCATTCTGTCACCTACTGCTGCTCCAAAAGGAAAGAATTTGGACACATCCACACACACCGCCAGGCATGGACTCTTGACCAACAACGTGCACAGGCTCAGGGCAAACAAGCGAATGAAAATCTGTAGAGGCGCACTTGTGGCAGCTTGTGGAGTGACTAAATGGGTAGACCCTAGACATGCACACATTATATTCAGCGGGCATCAAGGGATAAGGTGTTGTATTGTGTTTAAAGCAATCTGATAGCTGCGACTGAAGGTGATTAGAGCTGAGAGGGTCTGGATTACAATTTGGGGGACTCATGTCGGATGCTTCGTGGTCAAAGGACCGAGTGATGTTGGGTCGTTGCTCGCAGTCAGTTTTGAAAATGCCCTGCACAGTGGTACTAGATGTGCTGATGGTGGCGACAAACCGGAAGGACACGACTCACAAGGTGACGTCAAGGCGTGATATATGGAGGACTGGCATAAATGCATGTCCCAAATCACAAGAGAATGATGGGAGCTGTTTTACTGGTGTAAAAGAAAAATCAGCCAACCATAGTCCTATGTTTCATCAAACTTTGATGAGAAATTCCAAATAATTTTTAATTTCTGAAGCCACAATACTTTATGCTCAACATATATCCATTCTTCAACAAAAATGTGAATTTAAAAGCCGCATTAATCCAACTTTCAGTGCCAATCCAGTCAGCCAGGTATCCATGAATGAACAACACTTTATGTAATCCTGCATTATGAAATTATGAATTAATTTTTTATAAATATATAACTTGAATTTCCACTGTTGTTAAATAGCACTAGCACTATTAATGATATCACTTCAGTTTAAATGTATTAACAGGCCTGTCACATTAGAAATAGAAATATTTAATGACATTATTATAACGAGTCTGACTAGACGAATTAAAAAAAATATAGCCTACTGTGTTATGGTTTATTAACCTAGTGACTAGTGTAACATACTAAAACTAATTAGATCTAGATAGTCCCTAGTAGCAGAGACACTTTTGATGTTATCACATAATTTTAATTTTTTTTTAAATGTAGGCCTACATTAATCATTATAATTAGGCCTAATTATAATACATCTATAGATTCTAGCTAGATTTAATATAGAGTTAGACAGTTAATCTAGAAATCTAGACTAGATTTAAGATTTAAATACTTAGGCCTAATGTTAATTAATTTATAATTAGGCCTAGGCCATGGATGGCTTAATCCTAATTAATTAGGCCCTAAATAGTAAATAATTAAAAACACATCACTAGAACACTAGAACTTAAGACCTGGACTAGAAAAACCATGTAAAACAATAAGTTTATAGATCTAGTTTATAGAGATTTTATAGAGATTTAGAAAGAAGAGTATAATAATGTATGTAGTATGTAGGCCTATAGATCTAGATCTAGAAAATCTAGATCTATCTAGATCTAGATCTAGATTCTAGATTTCTAGATCTAGAATCTAGATCTAGATTCTAGATCTAAATTAAAAGAAAAATTTAGGCCTACTAATTTAGTAATTTAGCATAACTTTTAGTTTTAGATTTAAATATTTTACAGAGGCTAATTTTAATTACTGAATTTCTAGATAACAGTTTTTAACACATGCAATTTTTATTTTTAATCTACGAAAGTTTAAGATTCGGATTTCAAGAACAGCGATTGTAGGGTGATAAAAAGTTAAAATAACACTACGGCCGTTGCTTGCACTTCAAACCGCTGGAACACACTACATCACTAACCCCCAAAACTTACACAAACTAGCGTTTTCTACATTCTACAGTAAAAATCCTATTACACTTGTAATGTAGGTCACACCTCTTTTTGTAGGTGTGGTCACATTATTTCAAATTTGGCACAAAGAACTCACAATTTTATTAGTCACAATCAAAAAATGTCCTTTTTGGAATCGTCTGATAATAATTTTAAAACTTGACACGGTTCGTATACTCCAAGACTGACTTTTAATCCTAGCCTCTCTGTTGATCCGTGACTGACGAATACCCCCATGTGTTATCCTGTGTTGAGGTCAATGCTGACGTCACGAAGTAGACCAAAGCCTGAGTTACTCCAGTTACTCGAGGGTCATACAGGGTCAAAGGGACGCTATTCTGTTTAACTCTTACGAAAAATGTTAACCAGCACCATTATTTCCCTTATTTATTTTTCACCACGGATATAAGGGGTATCCCATTATAACATTTTAGACCTCCCTCCCCTACTCCGCACGCGTCTAGTTTCGACTAACCAAACACCCCCTCCGATGTGGACTTCCACAAAACGTTAGTATGCCTCTCACTGACTCTCAAATATTATTTACAATTTCATGCATTAACTTATCTGTGGATATACTATTTTCAGGAATGTTTATTTTTAGGCTTACAAATTAAAAGCAGAATCCAAAGTGTAGTGAGAAAAATAAGTAGGAATATAGATCTAGGAATAAATACATATATTATTTGTTTTAATAATTCTCCCATTACCAACCAATAATATAGTAACTTATTGTCTGTAGGCCTAATGAGAATTAAATATATTTCACAAATCATAGCAATGTTTAATTATCTACTGCTTTTTGTGTTCTTAAAAGATTTTTTATCATAACGATAAGGTATGGGTCAGATCACTGTATTGCTCACACACCTCTTTACTGGTAACTGCAAAAACACGTTTCATAGAGCAATTAATTCCTTTTTCAAAAGCCATGAATCTGATTGTAATGTAAAATAAACCACTTGAATTTTGCTCATTCATCTTTTGGTGTCAGTTTTACTCTTATCCACAGTGTTTTTCTAAACTAAATTTACCCGCGGAAAAATGAAAAATGTTCTATATCCTGCTGACAGACAAGAGACCCGCGTTTCCCTTCCTGATACTGATAGTATTGACATATCAAAGATAAGCAAAATCGTATTCTACGGGGGCACACTTGTGAGTTAAGATCGATCTGTAGGTGGTTGTCAGTCAGTGTTTCTTCCACACTTTTTTTTTATCTTGGAGGTGGGGTGGGGGGGGGGGGGGGGCACTTGAAATTTTCGAGGGCGGGGGGGGGGGGGGCAGACTCAAATTTTTTTTTGGGGGGGGCGGACGGCGGACACTGTTAAGCCTGGAAGAAACTCTGTTGACAGTCTATATGCACCAGGAATAACAGCAGATGTACAGAAGCGGAAGTGGATAGACCTTGAGGCAAAAAAAAAAAAAACGGCTCTCACATGCCTGGCTCTGAGCTATAAGGGGCCAGTGAGCCAAAAAGTAGGATATATATATATATATATATATATATATATATATATATATATATATATATATATATATATATATATATATATATATATATATATATATATATATATATATATATATCAATTTGCGATGAATTGTTAAAAATATGATATTTAGGGGGTCATTCATAAATGACGTCACGTTTTTTTTTGGACGATTTTTACCTCCCCCATCCCATCCGTCACACATCGTCACAAAAAGCCGCAGTCCCATCTAAAATGACAGTGGCGTAGCTAGGATTTTCGGGCCCCTATGTAAAAATTATTATTGGGCTCCTACGTCAATCTGTAAAATATGTATGTTATACGTCCTGTATAGTTATACGATGTTATTATGCAGTACCCCGTAACGTAAAACACCTTTAATTGTATATCACGTTTATGTTAAAGCAAACTAACAACTTAACATTTAATTAACCTAACACAGTAACATCACAAGGCGGTGGCGGAGGTGTCACTATTTGGGAGTGACAACATGACGAAACTCGTAAAATTTAATGTCATAACTATGTTTTATCCAGTTAAAATAATAAAATATTAAGCAGAGGGGGTAACACTCCACCGGAAATGCCAAATCTTTGGAGGGGTGGGGGTGGGTGACACTCACTAAACGTACAGGGTGATACCGATCCTTGGGACGGCACTAACCAAACACAATTTTTAAAAAGTTGCTGATGATTTATTTCGATTTGTTGTTATCTTTCTTTCAAGTTTGCAATGATTAATATTTTCCTTGAGATCCATTTTAGCTGCTTTTGTATGCTCGATAATAAGAATGGCTAAGTTACAGACCAAAGGGCATATCTACAATTTGTTTCATAACACCATCATAATGGGGCGCCCGAATAGGCTACTATTGTCGGGGCGCTGGAGGACACCCTTTATTTTATTGTCATTGATTATTGTAGCCCTCCGTATCCCTATGGCATGGCGCTCATTAAAACAAGTATATGTGCCGTAGTGCTCACGGGAGAACCCGGGGCGTCGGCTGGTGCACCTGTGCAGTTTGGCCATTGCAGGAAGCCCAATCAACTGACCCCAGGTGCTGAGAAACTTTATTAAAAATAAATTAGATCAGCAAAAAAAAATTCTCATTAAGATTAAAACTAGTAGAAAAACATTGACAAATGTTGGACTTAGCTTGGTGTGAAAACACTGTCCACAGCGGGGGGGGGGGGGGGGGGGGGGGGGGAGAGGATGCTCATCTCACAAAAGTCAATGGTCAAGTTTATATATATTCTAATTCTTTCAACGGCTTTTCCGGCCTGTAAGTGTTATTAATACCGACGATGAGCCCAATGCGAACACCCCCCCCCCCCCTCATACACTGAATGTCACTACCTCTACAGTTAGAAAGGTCTGGGGGCCTTTTTGGAACTTTTGTAGAAAAGAAACTGGATTTTCATTTTCTTTTTAAAATTATTTTAATAAAAGAACTATAAAAGTTACAGTGTAAAAGTTATAATAAATTATTTTCTTTAAAGAGGGAAAAAGGGCCCCTATTTTCCTTGGGCCCCTATGCCTTGCTTACGCTAGCTTTACAGTAGCCAGAGTTTCTTCCAGTTATTCATTATTAGGTACTATTGGAAATTACACATTTTTGCGCCCCCCCCCCCCCCCCATGGATAGCGCCCTAGGCGACCGCCTTGTTCGCCTTATAGGTAGCGCCGGCCCTGCCAGGGGCTATATAATTCTTGACCTAATTCTATAAGGTCTTTTTTTTCCTCAAAAGATTGTCAACAAAAGAAAAGCGCTCAATAAATAAATACCGTCACACAAGGGCCTATAAAATTATTGTCTAATGATATTTGTACTTGGACCTCCGCTCCGTCGCGCGCTCTTTAAAATATTTGTTTCGCTAGCTTATTGCGTTCATTTTTTAATATAGATATCTATATATTTTGCACCGGAAAAAGTATCGTTGTCTAAAAATGGCGCTGTATGTTTTCCTCTGCTGTGGGAAATGTTTACATATTTAGATCTAGATCTATTATTTGTAATGAATATTTTTAGATGAATAAAATCAAATAACTTAGAGACTTGGCTCTATCAAGCATTTAGATTTCGATTTATAATTTACTTTCAAGAATGGATTTTTCACCAGAAGAAGCATATCTTGAGGTATGGTAATTTTTAAAATTTCAATAGGGGGCCTACAACGAAACAATGGACTCAAACGAGAATAGTGAATTTACTAGATTCTAGACCTAGATCTCTAGATTCTAGTCTCTAAGCTGAGAATAGTGAAGTCTCAGAAGTATTTAAAAGGCCGATTAATCATAAAATATTTTTAAAATCATGTGCGATGCTATCAAAATTTTATCAAAATAACGAAGTGACTACGCATCTCGCAGGTTGGATTTGCCGTCTTGTGATTGAAAATGCTAACGTTGTTACTGTCTTAAAGAGTTAAAATATCCTGTCGTGACATAGGCCTACACTACTCCTGCTACAACAGTCCTCTACTTTACACCATTACAAACTTTTTTAGAGTACCACCACAGTGACGGAAATCAAAACAAATTAACCAGGCCTATTGAATCTAAATCATATAAACAATAACCGTGTACATATATATATATATACATATATATCTTATCTATCAATGAATTACTACATTTACTTATTTAATTATGTATCATGCTTTTAATTTTCAGTCTAATTGTTTGTTGATTCTTATTGACTAATTTGATGAATTTTAATTATGCTAATTAATAGTAATTAGGCCTAATTATATAGGCCTAGGCCTATTCACATGTATTAGTAATTAATAAGTTGGCTAAGTCTAATTGTAGTAAGCCAACTCTCATTAATTTCCAGTGATCAACACAAAATTGTGGTTCGGGGATTTTAAGTAGGCCTAAGTGTCATAATAAATTTCTAGCATCCTACAGTCCGGTTGAAAGATTGACAAAATAGACAAATAGTGTCCATTAAAATCAAAACATATTATTAGTAGCCTACCGACAGAGTGTACTACTACTGTCCAATAATAAATCTCATATCCCATTTCTTAAACAAATATTACTAACAAGGTTGGAAGTGTAACCTTTGATTCAAGAAGGAGAGTGAATGGTATTGAAACAACAAAGCTGTTTCTTTGATAGTAAAAATAAAATATGCAGGAAATATGTAATTTCATTCCTTTATTAATTAATTAGTTAAATAAATATCGCTAATGAAAATAAAAGGGTAGTTTATTTAGGCCTACTTAGTTTATTAGTTTTATTTTGCTAAGTTACGACACACAATATGAGACGGGATGGCCTAAACACTAGAGCACTAGGCTGCTAACCCAAAAGCCTCAAGTTCAAATCTGGGTCTAAGTCAGTAGAATGTCCCTAAGCCCAGCTCTGATGGGTACTTAACTCACATTAAAGAAAGTAAAGGCAGCTGGGCATTGTGCTGCCCAATAGATCGTGGAGGCTAAATGGGATTCTTTACTTTTTTTGTTTTGCCACACTCACACTGTATGCGTGATATATGGCCTGACCTATTTAAATGAGATTGTTTATATTATTGTTTTGAAGTTACTTTATAAATAAAGTGATTTATTTAAACAGGCATTCATGTTTCAGTTATTTGAATTTAGACATGGCTATAAAAATGGCTGGAGCAAAGCCTAGATGATAACGGCTATCATATATATTGTTGTAATGTATATATACAGGCATATATATATATATATATATACATACACACACTACTTTTTGCTTAACCTTTTAGCTATCAGTTGATTGGTTCAAGTTTCGCCATTTATTTGAAGAAACATTGAGTCAAAATGAACACAAAAACAAGCTTACAGAACTATAGTTAAATACATTTTTTATTTCAGTTCCTGAACTTCTGTTCTCAAGCTTTGAAAGGAGAAGATCCGAAATTTTTGGAATTAATCAAAAAAAGATTTAGAGCTTGCAGTGAAGAATTCCGTAACTCAGAAAAAATGGTGAGGCTGTTAAAAGAAACACAAACTAATATGGAGAACGAAATGTCAAGGATGTTTGTGCATTTAAAAGATCTGCTGACAGAACTTAAGGCTAGTTCATCTTCCAAATATTTTAAAACACAGAAGCTGTCTGAGCATAAGAAGAGATCATTTTCCCCTGATAGTGGAACTAAAGTTGACTGCAATCCAAGGCCTCCTAAGATAATGAACTGCAGTGTTATCCTCACTAAGGCTGATGATTCAGATGGTTATTCCTCACCAGTGGATGTTTATTTGGATACAGCTAGAGACAACTCGTGTTCTATCAGTGATGGCAATGTAAACAATGCAATGGAAATTCACATTGCTGATAGTGAAACTGATGCTCATTCAGATATTTCAAGTGCAAAAAGGGATAGCTGTGTTGAAGCAGGTAGAAGAAAATTGTCAACATTTTTTGTTGATTGTTCAGGCTCACCGGATATTCAGGTGATTCAAGCCTCATCCAGACTCACTGATGACAGCTCTTTCTCACATAAACCAAAAAACTTGGAAGAGAAATCTGAAGCTTTTTTACTTAATGAAGCCTCATCTACCAACTCCATCTCAGCCATATCTCCTTGTGAAAAAGATGAATTAACAAACTTAAATAGTATTGAAGAAAACTCTGGTGTAAGCAATGGCTTAGAAAAAGATAGCTCAAATAATGAGTTTCCAGGTAAAGTAAGTGATGCACACACATGCCCAGATACACTTGATAGTACTGTGTTAAAAATTCAGGATGAAAAATGTGTGAGTCATTCTAATATACTGCACTCTGAACCTTTGAGTGATGTAAAGCCAGATGAAGATTCTCATAATCCAAGAAAAGTGAATCAGGACCAGGAACATGTACTGCAGCCAGACCCAAATCCTGGGCTAGATAAAATGTCACAACAGCCCAATGGTGAGACTCAGGTACCACCCTCTGCTGTGACGGACAGTGTTAAGAGTGACAGCGTTAAGGAACCTAAGCGTGGTACACTTCTCCCTGTGGAGACTAGCAAGGCTACAGGGAGTGGGAGATTCAGCGAACTGTTTCCCAGTAAAAAAAGAGAGATGGGCTCTGTTAGCGGTAAGTAATTGTATCTTAGAGCATTATTTAATTTAAATATATTGATCTGCTAATTTAGTTTAGTCAGCCTCATATCAAATGGTACCATACTGTGATACGTTATATTTCAACCAACTGTAATGCATCCTATTTTTCATCGCTGTGACCATACTTTGAAACAGTTTGAGTCCTCTTTAAAAATGACAAGATAATAGGCTAGGATTTTCAACCTGGCGTACTCTACCAGATGTTGGTGGCAACAATAGTAGTGAACACCTGCTACCATATTTCAACCATGTTTACAGAAGGTGGAACTGAAAAGTTGTATGGCAACACCTTTGTTAAATGTTATCTAGAGTTCACAGTTCTATGCACATTGTGAAGTGGGACATGTACAGTGGCTAGCCACCTTTACTACTCCCATAGGTCAAGACTGATTTATTACAAGGATTTGAGCCACTTTCTAAATAATAAATTACATGCTGTTTGCTTATCATATGATGAAGTAACTTAGAAGTATTTGTTTAAATGAGTAGATGACAAACAAGGTCCTCCCAGGATTATGGCTAGTGAGGTGCCCTCAGAAGATGAATTCCAAGACTCCAAAGGTGACAAAGAAAAAGGCCTTCCAAATCAAAGACATGTTAGAAAGCTGGAGCATTTACTTGAGGTATTTCTACATTTACTCGTGTGTAGCTACTATATTTTTGAACTACTCATACATTTTTCAACCTTAACAAATAAATAATATGAAAATAATATATTATTCCTACAGTCACTTAGAAATGAGATAGAAAAATGTCAGGCAAGGGAGATGACTCTTGATGATCTAGAAGATGAAACATCCTCATACATCTATGAAGATAAATTGAAGAAAAAGTTTGTGGCTGCGTGGAACAAATTGTGTGAAATTACTAGTAGATCTGTCTCTACAGGCAGGCCCACTGAAAGAACTATCAAATTTAATGGTAAGCATGAATATTTTTAGTTTAAATTCAACCTGAACTATAAAGATTGTTCATCACCATTATTAAGGTAATATTAAATTAAATTGTTAAAGACACAAAATATATCCCAAAGAATTTAAAATTCAATATGCTAAAATCAGTCATTAATAATTTCTTAACATGTTAATTATTCAATTTATTTTTACCAAATTTAAATTACAGCATTGCTTTCTTATGTTATTGATTTAAAATGTTTGGTATTGCAGGAACACGATACAAAGAAATCAATCGCCGCCTGGAGAGATTTCTGAACAGAAAGAAAGTCTTTCCTGATTTCTACGATGTAAAAAATATCATAAAACTCACCAATAAAAAGTACAAGATGAATATGAGGTAATTCTAATAGCCCTGTAGCTGTCATGTGTATTTGTTATATAGTACCAAGCCAACCAATAAGCTTATCAAAAATGACAATATCACATAATAAATGAAGCTACAGACCCAAACATATAGTTTATTTTAAGTATGCTGATATTAACATTTTCATGATGGGTCAAGTTGATGAGTCATCTCATGGAGTCAACCCACCCTATACATTGTTCATATGATCATAAAACAAATTCATTGTTCAGAAAAGAAATTATTTATATACTCCTTCTGCTGAAGTTTTTTTCATTCATGACTTTCAAATTGCTTTGTCTGACAAACTTGAAATAACAAGACGTGTATTTTTTCTTCTTTCAGCGCTATGATGATCAATGACACAGCCAGAGAAGCTTTTGTTGACATTGGTGAAATGCTTCAGACGAGGCGCCATCAAGACTTTATTGCCACATTTGGCAATCGCCATACTGATTCATTAAGGTCAGCTTTGTAAACAGCTAAGTTACACAATCATTCCTATTTACCTAAGTATAAATACTAATTTAAGCTTAAAGATGTTTATTTCAGGGATGTGACTTTTTCAGATTTTGAATGGAAATCCAATTTTTCAGTTTCAGCTGCAATTTACTTCAGTTAATTTCAGTTTCTCATGAATTTTCCGTCAATTTTCAGTTATGGCTGTGTTGATTTTTTAAGAAGTTTTAAAAATTAGCGAAGAAATGGGAGTAACCTCTCACCAAACAACCCACATGCGCATGCCACACAGTCCTATTTAAATTGAGTATTATGCTTATCTACAGTACAGAAATTATGTCCAACGTACAATCAGTATATTCGCATTTCTTTTCGGTATTATAACACACAGAAATCTACCGTTTCTATCTGTTCCTATTTTATTTTGCAACCTCAAAGTAGTATTGGCATCCTTGCATAGGCGACTATTAGGACTAGACTAACCCGCCCCTCCTTGTAGCAACTCTTGTGACCTCATTATCACACCACGTACTGCTTGTTTGGGGAAAAACAAAAATAATATCACAGCCAATCTCAAATAGCTTTGTTCCTGCTTTGATATATGCTCTAGGTCAACTGATTTAAAAGCTAATGTGGTGTTACACCTGGCCACAAAAATAATTGGACAGCTGAGTGTAACAGTAAACTCAAGGTGACTCGGACCATGTCTTGTTTGTGGAAAAAAATATGATACTGACTTATTTTTTATAACAAGCTACTTCTATTCCAAAAGCATAAATAGCAATGTGGCTTGGCTGTCAAAATAGTTAAGTTTGGTTCAAATATTTTTGCCAGTATTTATTCTAAAACACTTTATATAAGGCTCTTTCTAATTCCAGCTAATCTGTTTGATTTCATTTCACATGAACAATTACAATTAATCTAAATCTCGGCTCTTTACAGTTGAAGACGTACATTATTATGAAGCACATCTTTAAAAGAATATAATTTTATAAGGCATAATTTAAAATTGAAAACAAGAGAAGAGCTAAATTATTTCAGTTAAATTTAGCATGATGTTAAAACTTGATTTACACTTTTGTTACATTGTACAGGAGTGGTGTTGACCCATATCTGACTGACCAAGAGCTTAGAAGAAAATTGGACAGCAACAGGAAAATAGCTCGCTCCAATTTGGACCAGGTTGGTACCGCCCATAGCAAATTTGTTCCATCAACCAGTTGCACTCTGCCATGAGACTTTATGTACATATTTCATTCTCCCTCCCCTTCCCCACCAACTTTGTTAATGCAATTTGAAAGCCCAAATGACGTCAAATAAATAACATATTCTGGTTTAGGGTACAATGGTAATGGCTGGCTTAAGTTATTAAGTCGTTTTGTTCCTAGTCGACATCTGCTGCCCTAGTTTGTTGTTACACATTTAAAAGATGGACAGTTGAAGAGAAGACCCAGTCAGCACAATTCTAATTTTAAAATTTTGGCATGACATCGCACACAGCTAAAGCTAAACTCTATTCCCATGTGTCTTACCTTTTCAGGTGATTGCCAAATACACCAAATTGCAATATGAGAGGGAAGATGAAGAAGATGAGGATGATAAAGAAGATGAGGATAGCAATGATGAGGCTGTGGAAGAAACTGTAAATAAAGATAAATACAGGGATTGTTCTGAGGGTGAGGATGATGAGGGCAAACTAAAAAGAAAGTTTCACAGAACTCATTCTCCTGACAGTAAGTAAGCTTATCATTTTCTTTTATAGTTCAAAGTGAACACACACAGGACAAGCATAAAATACAGTCAATTACTGTCTCAGTGGTTTCATAATTTTCCATAATGTGCTTATATTTTAATGTTAACTTTTATCCATGTTTGAACCAGGCAAAAAAATTTGAATAAATTAGGTGATTGCTCATGTACAACTTGGAATAAGTCATGATCTTAGCACCTATCTAATCTTGATTGAGCTCTTCAGCCTATCAGTTGTCTTATAATGAAGTTGTTTGATTTGCAGTTTTGATGTGCCTGTCAAACCATGTTGCATGAGGTGGCTATTTGTTTCTAACAAAGGGGATCTTTGACACTACATTTGTAAACTGGCTTTGATTTCATTGATGAAATGTTAAAAGAAGTTTTTTTAAAGATTGTTCTTCCTTTTAAACATTTGTAACAAGTCCCTAAAAAATCCCTGAACTTTTCAATCATATTTCTTGTGTTCTGTAATCTCCACCAGCACTATAGCCATTATACATCATCATTAACTCCATATCTAATACAGCTACTCTAAGCACCAGTTCTAATTATAACTCAACTCAGTCATACATATTTTCTTTTTTTGTACTAGGCACTAGCAAAGTGGCTGTGGAAGAAGAAAAGCTTTCAAAAGAAAAGAATGTTGTACCCCAAGAATCAGGTGAGGTACCAGCATCACTTGGTACCAGCAAGCCAAAGTACAACCCCTATGACTTGAAGCTGGGGGAAAACCTGTACCTGGGAGACAGTGAACCCCCAGCTGTTGATTCCTTTGTTAAAGCTCTGGGGCTGAGCCCTTTTGCATCAAGCATAAACCAGCATGGAACTCTTGAAAAAGATGTCATTACTATTGAGGATAGTCCAGCAAAGTTAGAGGCCCACGACACTAGAAGAAGCTTACTGAATTCTTTTAATAAAGAACTGGGTTCCATTCCTACCTTGGATGTTAAAAAACTTTGTGAAGAGGAGGAGAAAAAGTTAGCGCTGTTGAGAAGTAAGCCCAACTTGAAGTTTACGGCGCGCAAAGTGCTGCCTCTCCCTGCTGTTAAACCCAAGGCTGAGAGGATTCATGATGATGACGACCTGACCACAGGGCAGGATGATGACGACGTGTCCATAATAAGTTATGAGGAGATTGCCAAGGAAAATGCTGAAGACACAGACGACCAGTCGAGTGATTCCAGCCATGAAGACGATGATGAAGATGATGAGGACATCATGGTGATAGAGAGCAGTGTTTCGGAGAGTGACTCCGAAGGCTCAAACCTGCCCTCCCCTGTAAGCGTCATCTCATTAGGAAGTAGCTTTGATGACTCTGACAGAGAGTCAGATGCCGATCGCCCGGTCTCCAAGTTTAACATTAAGACTTCTCCTAAAAGCCCAAAACAGGCTCAATGGCCAGACCACAACCCCAGTGGACTAGATGTGCTGACCCCCACCCACTTCAAAGGGCATCCTCAATTTTCTGACCACACCGCTTCATCCATCTCCAGGGTCTTGGATCTGGCGAGTGCTAGCAAATCTAAAGTCAAACCTCAAACAGTACACAAGTCTAAAGATATTAGGAAAAGCACTGAATTTTTGGACTTGGCAGTGCATGAAAAGTCAGCTGGAAGAAACCCTTCAAAGACTGTTAGTGTTAGTGATGGTCCCAAAAAATCTGTTCGGAGTTCCAGTACAGATGCAGATTGTATTGTGGTCTCCGCACCAGATGCACCTTGTTTAACACCTGACCATACCAAAGACAATGCCACACGCAGTTCCAGCACAGATGCTGACTGTATTGTGGTCTCCGCACCAGATGCACCTTGTTTAACACCTGACCATACCAAAGACAATGCCACACGCAGTTCCAGCACAGATGCTGACTGTATTGTGGTCTCCGCACCAGATGCACCTTGTTTAACACCTGACCATGCCAAAGACAAGGCCACAGCTGTGGAACATGAACAGTCTACTTCACTTTCTTGTAACTCTTCTGAGAAAATTGAAAACCCATCTGTGAAAGGAAAATCCATCAGTACATCCCCTAGTAAACAATATCCTAAAGCCATGATACCACATGCGGATAAACTTGTCCATGAGCAGCATGCTGAAAGTTGCAAAGTGGATCTTCAGGGTCATGTTTCTGGGAAAAGTCCAGAGCAAAAAATGGTCTCAACCCCCAAGCTGACCATAGCAAATGATGACTCAGTTATAGAGATAGATGACGTGCTAGAGGAAACCAGGCCAGCAAGCATCAAAGCCCCACCCACACCCGCTGCTAAATCTGGCAAGGACACTGATGATTGTGTCATTGTTATTGATGAAGGCAGCCAGGATGTGCCATCTGCTAGTCTTGCTCATCCAGCGCGTAATGGGTTTTTTAAAAGTGTGGCTCACCAGCCTGAAGAGAGAAACCAGGGGAAGAAAGCCAGCAGATCCAGTGAGAAAGTTGCGCTGGATAACTTGGCCAGCAGATCCAGTGTGGCTGTCAGAGAGAAAGCGGTGCTGGATAACTTAGCCAGTGCTGATGCACAGCATGAAGGGGAGGACATGTTGAGTGAGGATATTATTGAAATAGACTGTGCTGAGGCTGATGATTTGATGCAGCTTGACATAATAAACAGTGTGAAAGATGCTGTGGCTCAGGAGAATGCTGGTCTGTGTTGTAAGCTCAGCTCAGTGGTGGGGGCAGGCGCTAATGGTAGTGCCAGCTACAGGGATGGCCAGGCTCAGAATGGAAGTGCCAGCTATAGGGGCGGCCAGGCTCAGACAAGCAGGGAGGATGAAGACAGAGGTGGAAGTCTGAATCCACCAAAGGACAGAATGAAGGCATCTGAGAGGGTTCAACATAATGTGTTTGTTGATTCTCCAAAAACACCAGACCTGTTTGACGACAGCCCTCCCCTGGCTGTTGTAAGCTGTACTGACGCAACTAGTGTTGAAACAAATGTTGAAAGTATTTGTGTTGATTCACCTGAAGCTGAAAAGGAAACTGTTGAAAGTTGTAATGACACACTGAACGCTGAAGAAAAGAAGGCAGTTGAAAGCTGTACTAACACATCAAATGTTGAAATGGCAGTTGTTGAAAATTGTACCAATGTTGAAAAAGAGGTTGAAATCTATAACGTTGACTCACCTGATGTTGAAAAAAAGGTGGATGAAGTGGAAACCTGTAAGGTTGATTTTCCTGAGGAAGCTGGAATAAAACCTGTGTGTGCAGGGGAGGTAACTGCTGGGTGTAACACAGTTATTGCCCTTGAACAGTTAACAGAAAGATCATCTGCTAAGGAGATTGAAGAATCTGACAGCCACACTGGCAACCCTGTCATCAAAACAACCCAAGTCAAAGCTCCATCAGTGCCAGTTATTGAGATAGAAGAATCCCTGGACGGATTACTTGATGAGCCATCTGATAAAAGCCCAGTAGATGAGCCAACTAACAAGAGCCTAGTTGATGAGCCAACTAACAAGAGCCCAGTTGATGAGCCAACTAACAAGGGCCCACTTAATGAGCCAACTAACAAGAACCCACTTGATGAGCCAACTAACAAGAGCCCAGTTGATGAGCCAACTAACAAGGGCCCACTTAATGAGCCAACTAACAAGAGCCCGCTTGATAAGGCAACTAACAAGAGCTCACTTGATGAGCCAACTAACAAGAGCCCACTTGATGAGCCAACTAACACAAGCCTAGTTGATGAGCCAACTAAAGATAGCCCTCTTGATGAGCCAACTAACAAGAGCCCACTTGATGAGCCAACTAACATGAGCCCACTTGATGAGCCAACTAACAAGAGCCCACTTGATGAACCAACTAACAAGAGCCCACTTGATGAGCCAACTAACATAAGCCCAGTTGATGAGCCAACTAACAAGAGCCCAGTTGATGAGCCAACTAACAAGAACCCACTTGATGAGCCAACTGATGAGAATGAGACAACTAATGAGAGCCCAGTTAATGAGCCAACTAATGAGAGTCCAGTTAATGAGCCAATTAATGAGAATGAGCCAACTAATAAGAGCCCAGTTGATGAGCCAACTAATGAGAATGAGCCAGCTAATGAGAATGAGCCAACTAATGAGAATGAGCCAGCTAATGAGAATGAGCCAACTAATGAGAATGAGCCAACTAATGAGAGCCCAGCTGATGAAGTGGAATCTTTCCCCTCCTTATTCTCTTTGGTTGAGGACAGTGCAAACAGTCACCTGAACGCCCAGTCTGAGAAAGACATAGCCTGTACTGAAGAAACCCAACTTAGTCGTACCGTGCTGGAGGTGGATACCAGTTCTCCAATAGATGACAACAGAGGAAAAGAAAGACAGGTCCAACCTTCTAGTGAACTCAAGCCAGCATCACCGTGTGTTGCCTCTGATGTTGGAAGTCAAGCACCTTCTGGCACTGGTCACAGCCCTGCTGAGTCCAAGAGTTCCAGGCAGGTGGAGGAAGTTAGTGTGGAGGATATCTTTAAATCTATCAGCCAGATCTGTGAACAAATACTTCAGAACGGGGACTCTGTTGCAGACCAAGTTTCCCCAGACACACCCCCAGCTTCTGTCAGTCCAACAGACACACCCCCTGTAGATGACAGTCCAACAGCCACACCCCCTGTTGGTGGCAGTCCAACAGACACACCCCCTGTAGGTGACAGTCCAACAGCCACACCCCCTGTTGATGACAGTCCAATAGGATCAAGGCAAGAAGACACAGCATTACAGACAACACCAGCAGATGTTGAGCAGGCAGCAAGTCCAGAGATAGAATCAGCTGTAACTGGTCTAAGCAAGGAGGGAGAGGTTGTCAGGGGGAGCAGTCAGTCACCAGGCAGAGATGTGAATAAGGACACAGAGAACGTTGTCAACACTGAGGATAGTGTTTCTCTACATTCCAAAGACAAGGAAATAAATAAAGAAAGTAATAAAGTAGATGAGAGTGATGAAGATGAAGTAGAAATAGTGGAAGAATTATGTTCCGCCAGGGGTACCAGATTAAGTGTGAAAACTAAAGAAGATGACAGAAAATTAGTGGACAATTTTCTCAAAGATCCCGCCATGCTTGGGGCCATTAAAACTGCCAACACCTCCCCTAAAGTGCTTAAAGAAGACGACACAGTGAAGAGCAACTTGGATGTAAACAATGATGAAGCCAAGACCCCTGAAGACTTGGCTCCCCTGGACATGGAATGTGAGACTGTAGAAAAAACCACCTCTCCAGCTAACTCATTGCCTTCTAGTCCTGGTTCCCATTCTGTCAAGTATGGACAAGTTTCCAAGCGAAATCACAAAGACATTGAGAGTGATGTGGAGGAGACAGACGCACCAGTTGAATCAAACAATGCTGATGACGAGAGCCCTGAGCTTGAGATAATAAACACAGAAGCGGCAGAACCTCTCCCTAAACGTCAGAAGCTGGATGGTCACGGTCTCGCTGTAGCACAGCTCAGCCCATCACCACCTAACTCTCTTCACTCTGGTAAAGGTGTTAAACGACACCGCGAAACTTCTGCCAGTGGGACCTCTGAAAACAAGAAGGTCAACGAGTTGAAAAAAACTGAAGTTGAACTAAAGGAACCTTCTGCCAAAAGGCTGAAGGAACTGGTTACTGATGATTTCATCAAGGACCTGATCAGCTCAGTTTACAAAGAGATCCCAGCAGGTGGGAAGCTGCCAGCCAAGCCATCAGCTGCTGAAGATGATGACGTGTTGGTGGTGGCTGAAAACTTGAAACCCTCAACCTCAGGAGCGGCATTACGCATGGGCCCATCCAACAGGGCTCTGGCCAACAGAGGCCCATCAGGCCTCCTGTCCCCCACACAAGGTTTAAAGTTTAAACCAATGGTCACCTCTACCCCCATAAGTAACCGAGGTAATAACTCCAACATATTGAGGTTTAAAAACAGTACATCTGTGATGCGTCCCTTCAGGTCAACACAAGGCGGGTTTGTCAATAATTCTTCTCGCTTGAATAACTTCCCTGGCAGCATCAAGCCTGCAACTTCCAGCTTTTCTCCGTTTGCTCCAAGTTCTTTGGGTTCACGGCCCAGACACCAACCCTCAGCCCCATCATCTCACACAATTCCCAGCCTCAACCCCAGGGTGCCCATACCCAAGATCAACTCGAATACAGAGAGCTTGTCCTACAGGCAGAAGAACTTTGATAGACGGGGCCAGGTGTTCCATGCTCAATCAAGTAGGCAGAGTCCCGCTTCACACGTCATCCCACCTTACACTCAACAAAGGCAGGGGCCGTCATCTTACAGAAACTCTGCTCGGCCTGGCCCGCAACCCCCACCCTACAGACCTAGAGGTGGTACAACAGTCCCCTCTTCCAGAACTCCAGTTAAAAATCTGGATGGCACTGAAATAATTCTGGATGATTCTGATGGTGAGGATGAGGGGGGTTCCAGGACAAAACAAAGCACAACGCCAGTCAGACATGGCAGCAAGAATCAAAGTGAGAAGTTTCCCTCCCCTCGGATACTTTCTGTGACCAGTCTAAGTCCGGCCTCATCAAAACACAGTGACAGACCTGACACTAGAGTTGTCAGTAAACATAGTGACAGACCTGACGCTAGAGTTGTCAGTAAACACAATGACAGACCTGACGCTAGAGTTGTCAGTAAACACAATGACAGACCTGACGCTAGAGTTGTCAGTAAACACAATGACAGACCTGATGCTAGAGTTGTCAGTAAACACAGTGACAGACCTGACGCTAGAGTTGTCAGTAAGAAGAAAAGTGGAGATGTCATTGTGCTTTCCGACTCGGACTAGTCCAGGTGTCTTCACCTTATTTATTGATGGATAAAACAACCAGTGGCATGTGACTGTGTCCACTGTTAGCTGAAACAAAACACTTAATTCCTGATTTTCTCTACTGGCAGATTAACTCAAGATGTGCCTATTAAATTTTTAAAAAATCATTCAAGTTATTAACAATACCTAAACCTGATTTTTCTTGAAAGAGTTTATTGTTAATCTTTTGCTCATTTCTGCGACACAGGTTCTTTTTTCAGCGAGATATTGAATATTTATTTTATAAAATCTAGATATATACACACACAGTGTTTAATATTTGTTTGGTACATGTTATATTGTAAATTAGTTTGTACAGATTCCCTATACCATGTGACAGATCTTTAGCTCATTTTGTGGTCCATGTTGTGTATGATAGAAAGCTTGTGATCCATGATGTAAGTAAGATGACACACATGTACATATCCCCTAGTTGTAAGTGACAGTCCAGATGCTTGGATGCCAGTGTTGAATGGGGCCAGACAAATTTTGGCTCACTACTTTTTTAAATGACTGACAGAACATTCATTTTGTAGTGTACTTGTGAGGTTGAAATGTGACAAAAGTTGTAAGATGTGACAAAAGTTGTACGGTCGAGATGTGACAAAAGTTGTACGGTTGAGATGTGACAAAAGTTGTAAGGCTGAGTTCTGACAAAAGTTGTAAGATGTGACAAAAGTTGTACGGTTGAGATGTGACAAAAGTTGTAAGGTTGAGATGTGACAAAAGTTGTAAGGTTGATTTGTGACAAACGTTGTAAGGTTGAGTTGTGACAAAAGTTGTAAGGTTGATATGTGACATAAGTTGTAAGGTTGAGATGTGACAAAAGTTGTAAGGTTGTGATGTGACAAAAGTAAGGTTGAGTTGTGACAAAAGTTGTAAGGTTGAGATGTGACAAAAGTTGTAAGGTTGAGATGTGACAAAAGTAAGGTTGAGTTGTGACAAAAGTTGTAAGGTTGAGATGTGACAAAAGTTGTAAGGTTGAGATGTGACAAAAGTTGTAAGGTTGAGATGTGACAAAAGTAAGGTTGAGTTGTGACAAAAGTTGTAAGGTTGAGATGTGACAAAAGTTGTAAGGTTGAGATGTGACAAAAGTTGTAAGGTTGTGATGTGAAAAAAGTTGTACAGTTGAGTTGTGACAAAAGTAAGGTTGAGTTGTGACAAAAGTTGTAAGTTTGAGTTGTGACAAAAGTTGTAAGGTTGAGATGTGACAAAAGTAAGGTTGAGTTGTGACAAAAGTTGTAAGGTTGAGTTGTGACAAAAGTTGTAAGTTTGAGTTGTGACAAAAGTTGTAAGGTTGAGATGTGACAAAAGTAAGGCTGAGTTGTGACAAAAGTTGTAAGGTTGAGATGTGACAAAAGTAAGGTTGAGTTGTGACAAAAGTTGTAAGTTTGAGTTGTGACAAAAGTTGTAAGGTTGAGATGTGACAAAAGTTGTAAGGTTGAGATGTGACAAATGTTGTAAGGTTGAGATGTGACAAAAGTTGTAAGTTTGAGTTGTCATGTGTTTAGACTGAACCATGTTCCCATATAACTTGTCCTCAAGGAAGTGAGTAAAATAGAAACCTATGTGTCAGCATAGACAAAAGACATCAAAATAGATCAAATGGAGATTTTAGCCACATTTTAAAATGTCCTTAATTTTATCTTTATTTTTGGCTGTGACAGTTATAGAGATTAGTTTACAGCATTATTTTAATACAATCATTACAAATATTTTTTAAATGGCCTTACAGACAATGATTATGAAATACATGTACCAATTCCTGTTTATTAATTGCCAATGGTTATAATGCTAGTCTAAAAATTTCTCTTTGAAATCCTACACAAATGATGTTGGGCACGCTCCAGCCAGTTGGCATGATCTGGTTGAAGATCTTTATTTTATGTGGTTGATTAACCGAACATACCCTGGTTAAAGATCTTTAATTCCAGAGGTTTCTTAATTGACCAAAATTTAATTGATTATGTACAATCCAAACATACAATGTTTTAAATTTAGTTGTTGAAAAGAGTATTCAGTGTAGCCACTTCTTCACTGTAATGTAGCAGAGATCAAAATTTTGAAACCGAATTAAAAAATTAATGAGTTTGAGTGTACATGAGTATTTCAGCTGCTTTATTACCATACAGGTCTCAGGAAACGTTAATTATTGACGATGCTTTAAATTAAATTTGAGTATAACTCTTCCCACAACAAAGATGTTATTGTTGGTCATATGTAATATTTTTGTTAAATTTGGGAGGCGGAGTTATCCCTCTTGTTTTCTTTTGATTTCAAATTTCCTGCTGTGTAATCTTTTTAACAAATTTCTGGATTTTTCTGTTTTGTTTATCAAATTTAAACTTTGCTCATTTTTTATTTGTATGTGACAGGACTGGTATATTATTCTTCTTTCTGTTAGTTACTGCTGTTGTCTGTCAGACATGAATTGGTTTTTACTGATTTTTGTCAATGTAAAGTGAAATATTATTTTTAACCATACTGTTGGGGGGGGGGGGGGGGGGGGGGGGGGGGTTGATGTATACAACTTGTCTAGCTTCTCCAAAAAATGTTCACTCTAGCTAAACCAGTAATTCTCATAAAATAAAATAAGTTATGAGTTGTCAATGTTACTGGCCCATGGAATACTCCCTTAACAATTCAGTCTATTACCAGTTATGTCAGTCTATTACCAGTTATGTCAGTCTATTACCAGTTATGTCAGTCTATTACCAGTAATGTCAGTCTATTACCAGTTATGTCAGTCTATTACCAATTATGGCACTAATATCCAGACCATCCCCACATTTGATTGAGAGCTGTAACCAGACTGGACACTTGAAACATTCTTGTGTATTCAAGTCTTCCATTGGCTTGCTCTGATATGTATGTTCTAAAGGAGGGCACAACCTGTTTTGTTTTTATGTATTGTCATTTCTTATAATGTTCCAAATGTTTGATACATGGATTTTTTGGATTGTGTTATACTCAAACTAAAAAAAATTCCTTTATTTATTTGTTTATGAGTGTATTATGCTTTTGATTTAAGCATATGATTTGTTTTCTGAATTAAAATGTCAGGAAATTTAATTTTTGTCTTGCATTTGTTTCTAAGCATGCCATTCAGTTTTAAATGGTGATGAGTTGACAGGGGGGACTCACACAAAAGGATTTTGTTATTCAAAAGTTAAACTTTGAAAATTCTTATAAAGTTAACTAAGTATTCACCTTAGGAGCATAAGAAACAAAACAAGTCATTCATTCATGGAGCAAATATTGAAAATGGTGAGCTGGCTTTTTTGTTAAGATTTTCATTGCATGAGTAATGACTTTCATTGCCTCAGAAATTTTAGTGTGCAGACTAGGAGGCTTAATCTATATTACAAGACTAAAAAGAATACAGGTAATTTAACTGACCCTTGGTCTAATTGAAAACGTTGAACTGCTAAAAAAATAGGCCACATCCAATTGATGTCACAATGCCCATGCAGCATAAGGAAATGTTCTCTTATTTTAGACAGTGCTAGAGTTGCTAAACTTGGCATCGCAATTAATTGATGGACTTTTGTGATAACATAAAATGGGGGGGGGGGGGTGTGAGAAGTTACCATCGTAGCATGTAGTGGAGATAGTTTTTGAAGAGGCAAATCAATCAGAGCTTGTCCAGATGGGCCCCACCAAAACGTTAGCCCCCCGCCACTCCAAAAGAAAAAAGATTCTACAAAAGAGAATATTATGAAACTTGAACTTTTGGTTTTTAACCCTAACCCTAGAGGCGGATGAGTTGTTTTCGTGGCGTGCGTTTCAACATTTAAAATTTAAATGTCTAGACACCAGAAATAGGTCAAGGTTGCGTGTATTAAATTTGAGCTGGCAAAAAGTGGCGGGGCTTAACTTTTCGCCAGTGCATTTTTTAATTGGTGGTGGGACTTATCTGGACAAGCTCCAATCAATCACAGACGCTTCGTCTGTTTTGTGTTTTCCAATCCCCTAATAATTTGCCTATAAACTATTAACTATAAGGGTGTTATACACCACGCAAAAATAAGCTAGATCTACATAATAAAGATTCGACCTGCAATCCTGTTCTCTCTTTGTGAAACTCAGTCTTAAAAAGTCAGACCCCATTACCCTTGAATGACGTAACAACACTTAGCTACCTACACCTCATTAAAAATTAAACACTTTAAATTAAACAAGACAACTATATTTAAAAATAATTAACCACAAAACCTGATCGATAAATATAATAAATAAAAATTAAATATGCGAATTCCGCATAGAAAATGCTCAAGGGAAACTACTCTAATATTTTTGAATGATGGCAGCTGTTTTTATTTACTAAATAAATGCCTATTTCCCAATATTTCATTGGCTCTCACTTACAGTCAGCTCTCAAACACCTGTGTCTTTGTTCAACGTTAATACTAGACTCTAGTCTAGATCTAGATTTCTAGATCTAGGACATTATCCAATGGTTTAGAACATCGTTGGTGATATATTAAATAATATTATTATTGTATTAAATATTATTAGGCCTAGTAAATAGTTGGGCATTGGGAGAATTTTTACACCGGTGTCGTCTGTGATAATGATAATGGAATCTTCTTTAAAAAGGGGGTGTTAGGTTACTCACTGGTAGTTGTTAATTGTTAACTAATAAAAGTAATAAGTAATTAATTAGCCAATCAATCCTAACCCTGGTCCTACCATATGCCTATCCCTGCCCTAATTGCTAACCATAAAATTAATTATTAAAATTAGTTGAGATTACAATACATACTTTACTTATCATACTACTACTATTACTACTTTACTAGATCTAGACGTCTAGATCTAGTATAAGTATTTGTACTAACAACCCAACACCCCTTTTCTATAGAAGATTCTATTTATATTATTATATTATCAGACTCTATCATCATCCGCCATAGTGATTTAGTAATATAGATCTATATATTTATTTTATGTTAATAAACTATAAATTCGGTAATCTATCGTTTTAGGTACGTAAAATCGCCCGCGACTAGTAATGTGAAAAACAGGTGACTCCTTACATTTTAATAATTATTTCACATTTTGAGGAGGATTTATGTTTTTTAAAATACAAAAATGTTTTCTTGTTTCATTTATGTACCTGTTTTTAAACAATTGAATTAAAACTTTTCAGTAATAAATGAACACTAGCGATGTTTCCAACAGATGCAACCATGCTCATTTACTATAGCAGCCATCTTGTTAAAGTTTTATTTTTAAAGACTTATAGCGCAAGATTCAGGCGGAAGTCACTCTATTTTACAAATGGCTGCTGTTTATATAGCAAATCTTGCTTGCAGACACTGCTGTTTAAAGTTAATTTCTGGCCTATATCGATATATTTAGCCATTGATTTAGGTTTATTATTCATTTCTCTATAATATTTGACACAAACATATGATAATACAACTCTATTAAAGCCTTGACAATGAGGTAACGTTTTCGTACATTAATAGCCGCGGGCGATTTTACGTACCCAAAACGATAGATTACTATAAATTCAAACTACTTGAAACTAGATTCTGCTTCTATCACAGGCCACAGGTATCGTGGATACGTGAAATATGATATGAAGCTGGTGGGGTTCGGTACCTGTATAATTTCAAAAAGGTTAAGACTAAAAGTGTTATCTTGTTCTGATGCACATTACTATTTCGCACTGTCTTATTTGAAATGTTTTTGTCAAGTTCTGTCATACATACTGACAAAATCCAATTGCAAATAATATGAGTCTGGTGTTTGTCTTGACCTCTGTTAGACCCCTGAGACTGACTCAGCAAACCCTTGGGGTTTGATCAAACGCAGGTTAAGAACCACTGTTCTAGTTCTATCTATACTACTACCCACAGCAAACTGTTAGATCTAAATTTACTTAGTTTTTAATAGAATTTGATCTACATACAAAGCAACATAGATTCTAGTTCTAAATCTAAGCAAAAAAAGTATCTAATCGATCTATATATGTGGACATTTAAAAAGTATGTAGATCTAGATCTATTATACTCCTAGACTATAGGGCCTACTACTACTTGTGCTGAAGGAACTTTGAAATAATATTTCTTTTCGCTAACTATTAGTCTATTAGTGATTAGTCGCACTAACAACTGTTCCAAGGAGGGTTGAGAAGAAAACACATCTTAGGATCTATTATTTTGAATTGGTAAATAACGTCATTTGTTATTGCTCAGCTTTTATCTCTGGTGCCTACCCATTTAAACACATTGGTTATCATGAAATAAAAGTTTTCTTACAACCCTATGCCTCTGTCAAGCATAACTCAACACCGCCCAACTCTTTTACCCTTGGCCAACATAATGTGAATGTTTTATAGGGCTGCTTTTGTGAACTAACACTGGTAACTCCCTATAAATGGGGATATCTTTATAGCAAACTTGTAATTAATTTCACAAACTCATGATGATTTATTGAATAAATTATAGTTTCAACCCTTACCTCTAGTTCAGTCTACTTTAAAAAATCAACACCCAAATTTAGATAAAAAACTGAGCAACTGCATTGCAATTACTATTGTTTTTTTTTTTTTAGGTAATCCTGAGAATGTCCCATACATCTTTTTTAAATAGTGAGGTATTTTTTCTACTGGCCTTGCTTCAAGTGCTGCTTGTATCAACTTCTTCAAATGCTGTAGACCCAAATGGATATGTGGTCTATTGTCCATGCATGGGTAAAAAAGCTTCAAATATTTACAATCATTAGTGAAAATATGTTGATTAATAAATATTTTTTTTTATTCATTTCCAATGTAGTTGTTTTTTCATTACAAAATTGTCTCACTAACAGGGAGATTTGGGAATCAAGCAGATCAGTTCCTGGGGGCTCTGGCATTTGCTAAAGCTCTAGACAGGACCCTCATTCTGCCACCATGGGTTGAGTATAGAAGAAATGACCACAAGGCTGTAAGTAGGCCCCTATTTATCTTAATTAATTATGCTGATAGCTTTTTAAAGGTCGACGACGTTACCACATGGGGAATTTAACAGGGATGGGAGGGACAACTGATCCAGGGTAATAGGCAGTGGGGAATGTCAAAGATGTCATTAACATGGGATGAAGATCCTGCTCATGATTGTTTCCTAATCTTATATTTAATTAAGGTGGAAACTGAAATTTTTTTTGGCATTTGAAAGTTTTAAATTTATTGAGCTAGTTATTTGGTTGCTTTGTTTAGGTGATGGAGCCCTTTGACACATATTTTCAAGTAGATCCATTTTTAGAATACCACAGAGTGATTACAATGGAAGTTTTCATGAAAGAACTGGCTCCTACAGTATGGCCACCTGGCTCTAGAAAAGGTATCAGTAGCTTGCTGTTATTCTCTAGAAAAGGTATCAGTAGCTTGCTGTTATTCTCTAGACAATGTTACTCACACTCAGCAGGATCCAAATTTTAGGATATATTTATATAAATACTTATTTAATCTATTTCTGATTTTTTTGTCAGATTTTATGAAAACGTCAGATGCTTTTGTTAAATGAGTTTATAGCTTCCTCTGTTACAATTTTGATAACTATAATTATCTTACATTATTTTACAAGATTTGTTTACTTAAGCACACACATATAAAGTTACTGGGTAAATTTGAAGCTGGTATCAGTCTAAAAAAATAAAATAGGAAATTCTAGCAATAGATTATTTTACAATCTTTAAAAAGTTTTATATTTTCTTTCAGTTTTTTGTTAAAATTATTAGACTGCAACAATTAGATGAATTATTTTATTGTATTTTATTTTTAAAATTTTACATTTTCTTTCAGTTTCCAGTTAGAAGAATTATTTTATTATATTTTTATCTTAAAAGTTTAACATTCTCTTTCAGTTTTCTGTTATTCAGCCAGACATGGGTCCAGTAAAGAAAGTGATTGCAATGCTAAAGAAGGCAGCCCATTTGGCCCCTTCTGGGATTGGTTTAACATAGACTTTGATGAGTCGGTTATTTTTGGACCTCTATTCTATGACACTGATAGTCCTGGCATTATGTCAGAGTGGAATAAAAAGTAAGTTGCAGGGTTTACATTTTGTTATTTAACTTTTGGTAAAATAGCAATTTGATCTATTTTAACTGGTTCATGAATTTGTGTTTTAAAGAGAAATTGAACTTTCAGTACTTTTTTTTTTTACCAGACCTGAGTCATATATTGTTTTTTTTTAAAAATATTTCCATGACATGTTTTATTCAAAAGTTAATTGTTTCTTGTCTGGCTTGGATTAAATTATACTTTTTACAACCACTGTAGGTACCCCAGTAAAAGCTACCCAGTTCTGGCCTTTGTTGGGCCACCAGCCAGCTTCCCTGTGACGAGGTACAATGCCAAGCTGCATAAATACATGAAATGGTCAGAAGAGTATGACAAGATGGCTCGTGATTTCATCGCAGCCAATATACCTGACAGTCCGTTTATTGGAATACATCTCAGAAATGGGCCAGATTTTGTGAGTAAGCTACCATCAGAAACATATATTAGTTTGACAACTAACATAAAGGTACCAGAAGTTGTATTCTAAAATTTTTCCCCAGGAACGGGCCTGTGAACATGTACCTTCAACGCCCAATATGTTTGCATCAAAACAATGTACAGGGGAGCGGGGGGAGTATGGGACAACCACAACAGAAATGTGTTTTCCTTCAGTAAAGACAATTACAGAAAAGGTAAAAAAAAATTACCAGCTTTCATTTCTTTTTTGATCAAATAACTCTCACCAAACAATTTATTTGCATTGGCTCCAAATGAAAAGTGCCTACTCTTTTACTTGTAAGTAAAAGGGAGATAATAGAACAATAGAAATATTTTCCTGTTTTGTTTAGTTTTATTTAGGAAAATTAAATTACAATTAGTTATTTTATTGCGATAATTTAAAAAAATTAAGTATTTGTAGTCTTACTTGTTATATTAGTCTCTAAAAATGTAACTTAACTTGTTGATTCTCTTTTTTTTGTTTAGGTAAAGAAAGAGGTTGCAAGAATTGGTGCCAAAACAGTTTTTATTGCTACAGATTACAATGATTTGATACCAGAGCTTTCAAAAGTTCTCAAAAACGTGAGTTTATTCATTTAGTGCTGTATGTCAACTACTTTTTCTGACCTACTAAATATTTTGCTTGACTCATGCTTTAATCTGTCACACAATTTGTACTAGGTGAAGTTGGTGAAACAACCCGAGCCCGCCTCCCCCCTTTTGGACTTGGCCATCCTGGGGCGGTCAGACCACTTCATTGGAAATTGTGTCTCAACGTTTACTGCGTTTGTTAAAAGGGAGAGAGATGCCCTTAATTTACCATCATCCTTCTGGGCCTTCCAAAAGAACAAGAAAAGGATTGAGTTGTGACATGTTTTATATGCTGACACTGCGCTCATGCTTTTTTAGTTATACCTCTTAAGTGCCTCTTATTAAAAATATTTTTTTAGAGGTGTTTCCCATTTTGTTATGGGTTTAAAGATAATATTTTCCATAAGTTGTTTAATTTTTATGACTAGTAGTACTAGTAGTTTACACAAATCTGCATGATGATTTTTCTCTTCATGCACTATGCTTCATACTTGAAATTGTTTTAAGTGTAATTGTCCATATTATAGGGCAGATGTTGATCATGCATTTAATTCTGTTTTATTGAGCATTTATTTATTGTAAAGATCATTGCTTGTAGGGTCCTCATTTCACAGCATTTCAGGTTTCTAAAATGTCATCCAAAACGTTGATCATACTCCTGGAGAGGGGGGGGGGGGGTATTAAGTGAACTTAATTGATGAATGTGTGGTGTGGGCTTTTAAGTCTTAGCTTTTAATTTATAGACTCTGTTATACATTTTGATCAAAATTTATTTGTTCTTAACCCAAATTGTTAAACTTTTCAATATTAAATAGTGGAGATGTTTGTTAAAGGGAAAATACTTTAATAATAATAATCGTGAAATAAACAATTTTTAATTGGGGGGGGGGGGGGGTTCATTTTAAGGGTTGGGGTTTGACTTACTGTTAGCATGTGGGAAGGTATGTATAAAAAAATGCATGACATCTTAAGGGTGACCCCAAAACATTAGTCCTTAAATAAAGTTTTTACAAATACTGTGTTGGTGATTTTCAATTATGGATGCCTTGGTTTACTTTTTAAACTGTGAAGTTCCATAAAGTTAGCTTAGAATGTAATGTATATTTGGTAACTAAAAAATAAAATGAATATAAGAAACTCATTTTCATTTCATAGATTAGTATTTAACTCAGCACAAACTCAATGCCCTTTAATTGTAATTGTAGATAATATTTATAAAAAAACGGCTGCCTCAACTTTAGTCATTGTAAATAGTGCACAAGTTAACCAGTAGATGGTAACTTGAATAATTTTTGTCTGTCAGTTGAAAGACCAGTACACATTTACTTTACATTTAATACTTTGTTGTTAGTATCTAACTCACTGAAAGTATCCATTTTATGATGTATCATTGTCGTAAATACGTGTAGCATCTGTAAAAAAAATGATTCCCTAGAATAAACTATTTGATACCATTGTTTTAGAGACTGGAGTATTATAAATTATTTTGAGAGATTGAAACTTTAAAATCTTACAAGGAACAAATTAATACTGTAGCAACCTCGTGGTTTCATATTTCCCTGTGAAATTTTTTTTTAACTTGATCAAATTTTGACCATCCTCGTATAGCAGTTGGAAATGCTGGTCATGAATTGGTTTTGTAATTGTGGGATATCAACTTTGGAGATTGCTGCAAATGCAGGCATAATATACTGGTGTTTTTGTTTATACTCATACATATGCAATCTTTAACTATCTGCTTTTTTTCTTTTTTATTCTATGAACTATGGAGACGGCTTTGATTTATAATGTCAGTATTAAAAGATAATAATGTATTGTGGATATTGCTTCTACTTGTAATTTATGTTAATGAATTGGGGAAAAGATTGTCCCTGTGTTTTGATATTTTGCTTGTATTTTTAATTCTTTATAACTTGATATCAAATAATACAAAAAATAGTATGGAGTTGTTGAAATAAACAAGTAGTAGCTCTGTATTCTATATTTTATGTTCTTGTTTTGCCTCCAACTTCTTTTGTTAATTGTTGCTATGTACCAGCCACAGATCAACAGGATCTTTAATCCTCAAGCCATAGATCAACAGGATCTTTAATCCTCAAGCCATAGATCAACAGGGGCTTTAATCCTCAAGCCATAAATCAACAGGGGCTTTAATCCTCAAGTCATAGATCAACAGGAGCTTTAATCCTCAAGTCATAGATCAACAGGGGCTTTAATCCTCAAGTCATAGATCAACAGAGGCTTTAATCCTCAAGTCATAGATCAACAGGGGCTTTAATCCTCAAGCCATAGATCAACAGAGGCTTTAATCCTGTAATCATGGCTATTAAGCTCAAGTGGTGCATCCAACCACTACCAGGCTCTGAAAAACTGTTTAACACTGAATTTAAGAACACCTGAACTCAGATAAAGCAAATATCAAAACAATTTATTGAACAGTTAATCATCAAACAGTAACATGTTAATAGATTCTTTAAATCATAATAGAACTAGGATAGCAAGGGTTTCTCTTAGTGCTGATTTTAACAACTTGATGTAACCTTAGATATTAGAGCAGTATAAGTTTCTCTTAAGGTTTATTTGAACAACCTACAACTCAAATGATACAACAAGTGTAACTATGTGGTCTACAACATAAGATGAGAAACATTTGTAAGTGGCATCTAAAAAAAGTCAGATGTGATGAGTGGTCTATTTTTGACACAGCAAACATCCTTGATTTGGGTAAACTTTTAGGTTTGGGTAAGTCTATGTTAATTTATTTTTTTAAAGTCTGTAAGAAATTAAATGTTTCCCCATTGTATATTAACACATCAGCACACGTTTGAAAATGTTTTGCAACTTTACAGCTATCTGAAAAATGCTGCTAAGTTCTATCTTAACCAAAAGAAATTGGCAAGTGATTAAACACATGAAACTTTGCAAACATAAAATTTCAAGTAACAGAACATTAAAAATCTGGATCAACACATTAAAAAATCCATCATTATTTTTTTAACAAACTAAAACATATTCAACTACTGATATATGACTATTTTTTAAAATAATACAATGATAATAAGTAAATAACTATCTGATATTAATGTTTATACTATCAGAATCAGCATACAGAACTTAAAAAATTACTTTTAACAAATTTACTTTATAAACCTAAGTGGTCTACTACTGTCAACCAATACAATGAATAGATATATAATTAGATGCTGTTGTCCTATATTTTCTCTAAAAAGTTACAAAATTTGCTGTTTCTACTCATTTGAGGTTCAGAATTCAAACTTTCTGATATGGAGCACTGAATGTCATTGAAATTTTAATTTTTGCTTTTTCAAAGTAAAATGCATGTGAACATTGTTCAAGAGGTAAGGATTCAATTTTTAAAGCCTTTAGAATATGGCCCTCTGTTTATAATTCCTAATCATGTGTTGGATAAAAATAATAAATGATCAGCAGTCAGTTAATCTTATTGCTAAATAAAAATTAATTAACCTTCCCCGATAGGCATGTGTAGGTTTTAAAAAACTAAAGTGTGAGTTTTAAAAGATCACTGGGACTCCAATTTTAATCATAGGGTTCTTTCCTAATGTAAGGCTCATGTTTCCTTTCTCTTATCTGTGTAAGTATTTAAGTACTTCAGTAATTAAGTAATTAGCCTGAAGTACATAACATTACTTAGAAATTGCATTTAAAAAACCCTAAAAAGCTTTTTCTAGGTTAAAATAATCAGGTGTGCAAATAATTGTTGTGCATCAAGTACTGTAGGGAATCAAGGGCTTTGAATCTTAACTGTTAGAATATCAAGGGTAAACAAAAACCATACAGATTAAGGAATAAAACAATCCCCCAGGGTAGCCCATGATTCACCCAACATGCATTGTTTTAAAAGGCTACTACATTTAATCAACACAAATTCCATAATTAATTATTGCAGGACAGGTCTGCAAAATTTCCTTAACAGCCAAACACCCAGATGGCCAAATTGCCCAACAAAATTGTTTATTAAAGATAATAATTAGCTATTTAATTACAAAAATTTTAGGTTTTCTGAAAACAAACCTGTTTCTATGCTAAAATTGTTTTTTCTTCACTTTACATAAATAACGAGAAATTGTTTTTTTTTAGTAAATAGATATCTGGTTGTTATAAAAAAAAAGGTTAAAAACTTTAATTTTTAAATTAAATTTGACATATGATCAGCACATGTCTAGAGCGCCAAGGCACACATCATAATTATTACAGTATCATGTTAAAAAAACCTCAATTATTTGGACCTGATTAACATAAATATTACAGTACCATCAAATATAATCCTCCATGGATTAGTTGGACGTATGAAGCAAAACTATTCTACAGGTACAATTTTAGATCTACAGTATTATAACATATTCCTTTTCAACAAGTACAATAAAAATGAAAGTAATTTAAATTATATCAATATGAACATTAATATAATATATCAGTCATTTAAAAAGTAGAAGAATTGGCCACATATTTCTGGGAAATCAATCATTCACCTCACCTCACAAGACAAGTCGGATATGATTTCAAATACTTATACAGATGGCCTGGTGTCATTTAAACTTCCTCAATTCTTACAGTCTTTCTCTCTGCTGCTCTTTGAGTCAGGTTTTTTGGTGTGTCTAGATTTGACCTGTTTGGGTTCTCCCTGGTCATGTGTGATTGGAAATGTTCTCCCAGTCTCTTGAAGCTTTCAAATCTAAGACGACACAGCGTGCATTCAAATCTGTTGTTTGCTGTTGTGTTAACTGAAGGTCCAACACTCAAGTGGCTAGGTCCATTATGGGTTGGGTAGTTAAAATGAGTCTGATAATGGTTTGTTAGATCCTTCTGATTTCTGAACTGCTGTTTACATTGATTACACTCCAAGACTTGATTAGCAGCAGACTGCCTGCTGCAACTGGCTACTTTCTGCTCACCTCCTGACACTGTTGCCTGTTTCATAATGCAGACTGAATGATTTTGAAAATGCTCTTCTAATTCTTCCAAAGTAATAAACTTGGAATGACAGTGTGCACACTCTATTTCATTTGGCATCTGGGTTTGTGTCTTCTCAGCAGCGGGCAGATTACCTCGGTTGACATTTTCCTTTCCAACATGTATTGACATATGATTTTGCAATCTTTTGGGGGAGGTAAGCTTCTTATGACACTGTAGACACTCATGGATTTTTTCCCACTTTTGGGGCTTACGTATTTTATTCAATGGTTTCTCTACTGGTACAGGCTTTTTCAACTTCATTTCTACCTTTAAAGGTTTCTTATTTGGTTTGTGATTTTTCACAGCATGTTTCTTTAACTTTTTTGAAGACTTAAACACCATGGAGCACTGATCACACTGGAATATCTTTTGGGTTTTAGAATGACTTTTCTTCTTTAAACTCTGGAGATTTAAAGTAACTGAAACTTTGTTTTCAACTATGTCATTTTTCTCCATATGATCTAAGATATGTTTTTTTAAGCGCTTGAAACTATTTAATTTTAAATGACAGTGCAGACATTCAATGGCTTTTTCTTTTTTCTTCTTTGCCTGCTTGTGGGTGGTTGAATCAGTTTGGTTTGGAATACTAGGAAGTATATTTTTAAAATGGTCTTGCATATGCTCACTGAGCTGGTTAAAAGTATGAAACTTTGAATGACAATGTGCGCACTCAAATGTTGCACTCACCTGCTCATGAGAGGTCACATGCTGGGTTAGGTCCTGTAAAGCATGAAATCTGACATTGCAAAGGGTGCAAACATATTCTCCGTCCTCATGCATGGCATGCTGGGTATTGTGTTCTTGAAGCTCCCGTATGATATGCTGGGTATTGTGTTCTTGAAGCTCCCGTATGATATGCTGGGTATTGTTGTGCTTTTGCAACTCCCAGTTTGTGAAATAAGACAAATGACATTGCTGACACGTAAATGTTGGTTTCAATGGTGACAAACGTATTTCCAATGTTTTCAAAGTCGGCCCAGCCACATTCAAATCCTGATCTGGTTGTGCTTCTGTCATCTGTATGACAGGGTCTGGTTGTGCTTCTGTCATTTCAAAGTCAAGGTCAGCTTGTGCTTCTGTCAATTCTGAGTCAGGGTCAAGTTGTGCTTCTGTCATATGTATGACAGGGTCAGGTTGTGCTTCTGTCATTTCTAAGTCAGGGTCAAGTTGTGCTTCTGTCATCTGTATGACAGGGTCAGAATGTGCTTCTGTCATTTCTAAGTCAGGGTCAAGTTGTGCTTCTGTCATCTGTATGACAGGGTCAGGATGTGCTTCTGTCATCTGTATGACAGGGTCAGGTTGTGCTTCTGTCATCTGTATGACAGGGTCAGGTTGTGCTTCTGTCATTTCTAAGTCAGGGTCAAGTTGTGCTTCTGTCATCTGTATGACAGGGTCAGGTTGTGCTTCTGTCATCTGTATGACAGGGTCAAGTTGTGCTTCTGTCATCTGTATGACAGGGTCAGGTTGTGCTTCTGTAATCTGTATAACAGGGTCAGGATGTGCTTCTGTCGTCTGTATGACAGGGTCAGGTTGTGCTTCTGTCATCTGTATGACAGGGTCAGGATGTGCTTCTGTCATCTGCAACTTATTTTGACACTCAAATTTTGTGTGGTGTCTCAATGTTACCAGAGTTTTAAAGATTGAATCACAGTGTACACAGCTATAAGTCTTTTTCCTTGGACGTTGTTTGCATTCTGACAGCTTATGGTGAGCAAAATGGACTAGATCACTCATCATAGTGTTGGGATCACTCACCACATTGCTAGGATCACTCATCACGTTGTTGGGATCACTCATTATGTTGCTAGGATCACTCACCACGTTGCTAGGATCACTCACCACATTGTTTGGATCACTCACCACATTGTTGGGATCACTCATCACGTTGCTGGGATCACTCATCACGTTGTTGGGATCACTCATCACGTTGCTGGGATCACTCACAACATTGCTAGGATCACTCACCACATTGTTAGGATCACTCACCACATTGCTAGGATCACTCAACGCATTGTTGCGATCACTCATCACGTTGCTGGGATCACTCACAACATTGCTAGGACCACTCATCACGTTGCTAGGATCACTCACCACATTGTTGGGATCACTCATCACGTTGCTGGGATCACTCATCACGTTGCTGGGATCACTCATCATGTTGCTGGGATCACTCATCACGTTGCTGGGATCACTCACAACATTGCTAGGACCACTCATCACGTTGCTAGGATCACTCACCACATTGTTGGGATCACTCATCACGTTGCTGGGATCACTCATCACGTTGCTGGGATCACTCATCACGTTGCTGGGATCACTCATCACGTTGCTGGGATCACTCATCACGTTGCTGGGATCACTCATCATGTTGCTGGGATCACTCATCACGTTGCTGGGATCACTCATCACGTTGCTGGGATCACTCATCACGTTGCTGGGATCACTCATCACGTTGCTGGGAGTCACAGTGTTGGGATCATGCGTCATGTTGTTGGGATCACTTGTCATATAGTTGAGTGGAAATTTTAATCTCTCTATTGTGACTCTCAGAGACTTGGTGATGAGATTCTTATACAGTTGACTTTGATCCTGGTTTGCTTCTAGATGAGACTTCCCATGCAGCTTAAGCTTTGTGGGAGAGGAAAACTGGAAGTGACATAAAGTACAAGAGTTGTGTTTGGAAGTGGGCCTCAGGCTCGGCTTTCTCACTGGCTGGGACTTCATGCTAGTTTTCTTCCTGAGGCTCATTTTGGGTGGGGCAACTTGTTTTGTAGAAATTTTTGTTGCAGGTAAGTTAGCAGGTGTTAGAGATATCATTTTTGTGGCAGGTAAGTTAGCAGGTGCTAGTGATGACATTTTAACTTTAGGCAGAATAACCGGTTCAATAGGAGACATTTCTACTTCAAGCAGGGGAGTAGGTGACATCTGCGCTGTAGACAGGATAGCTACCGGTGCAGAAATAGTTTCTACAGGTGACATTTCAAACTTAGGCAGGCTCACCGATTCCATATGTGACATTTGAGTTTGAGGCAGGGTTGTAAGTTCAGCTGGTGACATTTGTGTGTTTGGTATGATTACAGGTTCTGTATCTGACATTTGAGTTTCTGGCACGACTGTTGCTTCAGCTGGTGACATTTGAATGTTTGGCAGGATAGTAGGTGACATGTTTACTTTTGTCGGGACAGCAGGTTCTACATCTGACATCTGAGTTTCTGGCACAGTAGTAGACCCTGCAGGAGACAGTTGTTCTTTGAGCTGATCATCTTGAGACATCTGGTTCCACTCATTTGTAATATGAGCATGGATGTGAGCATTCATCTCATCAAAGTTGATCAAAACTGCAGCGCACTGAGTGCAGGAAAAGCTGGCTACATTCTCCTCCACCCTGCTGACATGGTCACGCTTGTTATGCTGGCCTAGATCAGCAGGGGTCAAGAATGACAGATGACAGGTGTCACACTTGTAAGGCAACTCGAGGCGTGTCAATACCACCCGCACTTTTCTTTTTATGAGCTCCTGGGCAAGTGCTGCTCCTGCTTTTAAATGAGCTGAAGATGTACTCACATTACTCACATGTTTTTCTTCCTTCTTTTCTTTTTTGTAATTTTTCAAAATGGAGAGAATTTTGGTCAGTTCAAGATGCTGGTCGCCAGAGTTTTTCTCTGACTTTTTTGTTTCTTTCTCTAAATGCCTTTTTATGTGCTTGATTAAGTAATCTTTGTGTTTAGAAGCGTAGGTACATATGTGACATTTGAAAGGACGTTCATCAGAATGAACTGCCATGTGTCTTTTTAATCCAGAATGGTGTACAGCTGAGAATGTGCAAAGATTACACCTAAAACTTTTCTGCTGCTCAAAATGGACTGTTAACATTTCATCCTCTGATTCACTTGAAATGATACACTCTGGGTAATTTTCCTCCATAAAATCCGGATATTTCATATAGTTATTTGAGGGTGTTTCCCATTGCTCACACGAAGCTGTGTCCCAAAGTTCAGAGTCGCAGACTTGAGACTGAAATGCTTCTTGCAGGTCCTCAAGTGGTGTGGGACCATAAAGATAGTCACTTTGGTACAAACTGTGATCTGCAACAAGGATTTTCGCTATTTCAGGGTATGGTGTCATCATTATGTTGCTATTGTTCTGTAGGAAGAGCCCATTCTGGGGATCTGGGTGGGGTTCCCTCATAATATGGCTATTGTTCTGTAGGAACAGCCCATTCTGGGGATCCAGGTGGGGTTCCCTCATAATATGGCTATTTTTCTGTAAGTACAGCTTATACTGGGTTTCATAAGAGTCAAAGTGGTCCATTTTTAGCTCTCTTTGAAACCAGCTTACATATTATGATGAGGAAACAGGGTGACTATATTTTATTGTAGTAGTTATTTCCCCTGAAAATATATGCAATAATATTTTAGATAGTTAGGCCTACTTACCCTCAGCATTTTAAAATAAGTAAATTAACTCATTGCTAGTCCCAAGCCAGTCATGTGTACAAAGAGATATACAAAAAAATATCTTTATAAAATGTATAATACTAAAGAGGGTAATACTAAATCATGAGCTAGTGCATTATGGTATTGAGCACCATGTATTGATAAAGAGTTATTTGAATTGCTTCCCTTTGTCACTTTGCAGCACTTTGCTCAGAGGGAAAGCCTACACAAAACAAAGTGTTAAATGTTTAAAATAGACTTATCTTTATTTTCTTTTTTCAGAATTATTAACATTATTCCTAATGATTAATTAAGGAGTTGTTAGGGTGTTCTAATAGTTATAAGAAAATATTCCAAGAGCTGATTTTGAAGTAACACAACTGCACAATTCTGTAGTGTTAAATGTTGGCCTATAGAATTCCCAAAACATTGTGTTTAATTTTACGCTAACTTGAAATTCAAGTAATCACTTTTAATTTAAAAATTAAAACTGGTTATTTAATTGACAATGTGTAGGTTACCTCTCTCACAGCATTTAAACCAAGGTTGAGTTTAAGTTTTACATACCTAAAACAACAGATTAAATACATTTATTAGGCTACATTTTAATATATTTTGAAAAGGTTTCAAACTAAAAGGCATCATATAAGTAAATCTATCATTTAGGCCCTAAGAAAAAATAAACATATAGGCCTAACAAAGTACTTATACAAAAACTCCTTTTACTTTAACAATTATTTTTAAAAAGTATGTAGATTTCTAGATCCAGAAGGTCCTAAGTAAAATGTAGAATTCTTAATTACATTTTTCTTGAAGAGTCAGATGTTATAAGCTGTAATGTAAGCTTAATAATATTAATATAGTAAAAGTTATTAAGTAATAATAGGTCCTATTCTATATTTAGACCTAAATATTAAATTATAAATTAGATCTAGGCCAGTAACAGTACACTGTACAGCAACAGGCAGTACAGTACAGTGTGTAGACCTAGATCTGATCTAGATTCTAGATAACTCAAGTTTTTAAAGACTATTTAAATTTAAGACTAATAATACTACAAGTACAATCTCTACACTAGTCTACAGTCTCTCTCTCTGCAGTGCACAGTACTAAAACTGTACAGTGTACAACGTACAGCAACATGCAGTCAAGTCACAAGTATTATGTAGTAGATTCTAGATCAGCAGATCTAGAATTCTAGATCTAGTCAACTAGGAAGGGTTTTGGATAGGCTACCAGCAAGCAAAAACAAGCCAGATCACTTTGTCATCAGCTACTGGGAAGGAGATGAGGACAGTTCGGAAGACTGTGAGATTCCTCTAAATTCTCTAATTGTGGATCTTGTGGACAGTGGCCTCAGTTTTGATTAATAGTTAGAGATGAGTTATTCATTTTATTATACATATTATGAAGAGATAGTGTGGTCAGCACTATGCCCAGCCATCTTTACTTTCCCTAACGTGAGTTAGGTACCCATCAGAGTTGGGTGGAACCAGGGATGGTCTACTGACTTGAACCCGGATTCGAACTTTTTAAAAATGTCTTACTACTAAATTTTGAAGTTTGACATTTTTCAGTAATTATAGCCTAAGTAATTCTTCTTTGTTGCATTTAGAGGGCGCATGTTTGTATATTAGTATTGATATTTATAGCAACAATTTTATGCTAGTAAAAATAGGGCTCGCAAATAATACAAATTTCAAAAGTTATTAATTTATTATTTTGATGTGCAAATTATAGCAGTAAATAGCCTAATGCATTTTCAAGAAATGTGTATATTTGTAAAAGTAGTTTTAAGTTAATAAAAATAGGCTCTCTAGCAATACAAATTTTGAAAAATTATTTAGGCCTATTGAATTCATTCAAATATTTTGATGCACAAATTATAGCAGATTTTCATTAGGCCTAATTATAGCCTAATTAAGGCCTAACTATTATTCTTTGCATTTCAGGGCACATATTTTTATATTTGTAATGTTTATAATTAGTTTTAAGTTTTTTTTTAAATACTGCTCTGCAACAATTTAAATTTTGAAAGAACAGCCTAATATTAAATATTTTGTAGGCCCTAGGGCCTATAGAATTTGTAATTATGCGCAAAATAATAGCAAATTAAATTTTTTAGGCCTAATTATTACGAAGTGTCTACTCGGAAGAAGATTTTTCTCCCCAACGTCTCCACTTAGTCGGCAAAAGATAGCTCTGTGCATGCGCAGTGACCTATGGCTAGGGTTAGGGCTAGAATGAGGGTTAGGGGTAGGGTTAGGGTTTGGGATAGGGTTAGGATTAGGGCTAGGGTTAGGATTAGGGATAGGGTTAAGGATAGGATTAGGGTTGGTGTTAGGGTTCTGCGGTTGTAAACACACGCATGCGCAGTACCATCGAAAACATCGCCGCTAAGGCAAGTCGTAGTTTCTCTCCATTGCGCATGCGTATCTTATTCCGGCTAGAATCGGCCTAATTATTATGCTGTAGCCTAGGCCTAATTAAATTTTCTGTAGGCCTATTATTTCAGGTGCCGATATTATTGTAAATTAAAAATTTTAGGCCTATTTGTGATAAATTGTGATATGATATTTCCAAACACAATTTTTTTAAAATCATTTTTCTGTTTTTGTTTTGTTTTATGTGTTATCTCCCTTTTACAATATTTTGTGTTGTCGCCTCATTAAAAAACAAAAAAAATGATTTCTCAGCTTCTAATTAACAGGTTTATAAGGTATAAAACTATAAAACTCACTAATTCTAATCTAATGCAACTACATAATCTTAGTACTTAGTAAGTAGTGTTATTCTAGATCTAGAATCTAGCTAGATCTAGATCTAGATCTAGAACTAGATTCTAGGGTAATCTATCGTTTTGGGTACGTAAAATCGCCCGCGGCTATTAATGTACGAAAACGTTACCTCATTGTCAAGGCTGTAATAGAAGTATATTGTGATATGTTTGTGTCAAATATTATAGATAAATGAATAATAAACATAAATCAATGGCTAAATATATCAATATAGACCAGAAATTAACTTTAAACAGCAGTGTCTGCAAGCAAGATTTGCTATATAAAAAGCGGCCATTTGTAAAATAGAGTGACTTCCGCCTGAATCTTGCGCTATAAGTCAATAAAAATAAAACTTTAACAAGATGGCTGCTATAGTAAATGAGCATGGTTGCATCTGTTGGAAACATCGCCGGTGTTCATTTATTACTGAAAAGTTTTAATTCGATTGTTTAAAAACAGGTACATAAATGAAACAAGGAAACATTTTTGTATTTTTCAAAACATAAATCCTCCTCAAAATGTGAAATAATTATTAAAATGCAAGGAGTCACCTGTTTTTCACATTACTAGTCGCGGGCGATTTTACGTACCTAAAACGATAGATTACCGATTCTAGATCTAATCTAGAATCTAGAATCTAGACTAGATCTTAAGTTCTTAACATACCTACAAAAATTATAAACCATTTAGTTAAACTAAATCTAGAATGTAACTAGACTTTAGAAGCTAGATCTAGATATCTAGATCTAGATCTAAATCTAGAATCTAGTATTAAAAATTTAAAGAAGGGTCAGATTTTCTCCCCTAGTCTTCATTTTTACATCATCGAGAAGTTAGATAGGCCTAACAACTAAAGTTGATTTCCGGTTTCTTTAGAAAGAAAGCTAAAAATATCTGGTATCCAGTGGCGTAGCCAGTGTTTTTTCCAGAGTTTTTTCTCCAGGGGTGCACTTGAAATTTTCGGAGAGGGGGCTAAAATTTCCCAGGGGGGAGGACGGAGCCCCCCGAAGAGATGCCTGGAAGAAACTCTGGGCGTAGCGAGGTTGGGTGTCACCCGGTGCGGTTTTTTTTTCAAAAAAAAAAAAAACGTGTAAGAAATTGAATGATTAATTAATTGATTCACTTTTGGAATTAACTTTTTTTTTAAATTTCAGTACAATACATAATTTAATTTATAACGAAATCTTTATTCAAACAAATGCTATACTTTGTGATGTTTTTTTTTTCTTTAAAATAGTAAAAACATTATTTTAAAATTATTACTTAAAAGGTTACCTCCTCTGTACACATACCAAATGATGTAGTCTTTGTTTACTTTTTCACAAACATTTGTTTATATAAGAAAATACGGTATCTGGACAGAAAAGGGGGTTATCCGACGGGAATAATGTTTTCTGTTACCCTCCAGGGTAGGTCTACGACCTCACAAAATATCAAAGGGGGTAAAAAAAAGCCGGTCAGTCGAGGTCAGTTTGACCCTTTCTTCGTGGACATTGCAGCCAACCGGTACCGGCCCCCGTGTTCAATTGCCTGCCAAATTTGAATTTATATAAGTATGTATATACGCATGTGTATGTATTAACATATTTTTTAATGTGTTAAATTTTTTTACCTCCCCTCTCCCCTATACATGGATTAACATGTAAGTTATTACGATACTCAGCCAAACCGTTTACCTCAGGCATATTTTGAAACGTTCAGTTAATGTAACTATGCTCAGATATAAAACTATCTATATCGGTTATAAATACAGCGGTTATAAATACAGCTTGATGTAGCATGTTTTCTCTATCATTAGCAGGTTTACGTCATGGTGTCACCCCCTCCACCCCCCCCCCCCTTTCCACCCATGCCGGGATTTATCAAATTTGCTATTAAAAGACTATTTAACACTCTAATTAACCACTTCTTAAAGTGGAATTATCATTTTTCTGTATATATTTGGTTATTTTTTGCCACCCCCTTAATAGTGTCACCAGGTGCGGTCCGCACCCCCCCCCCGCTACGCCCCAGCTGGTAACTACTTGGACAATGTTGAAAAGAAATACTTTAATTAAATTTATAATCTAAATATCCAACCATTAAGACCATAATTTTTGACGGTTTCATTTAGTTAGTTTAGTTAAGTTTAGTATCTCTGTCAGCCAGCGTCAAAGGCTAAGTTTCCGCAACAGCCATAGACAAAATTAAAACCATGTTTAACTTTATAGGCCTACTTATAAAGCAACCATAACGTAGATCTATATAGTATATTGATCTAGACTAGATTCTGGTAAATAGATTCTACATAGTATACTAAGTCTAAGTCTAGTAAGTCAAGTTATTGATAATTAATTTTAAAACTTCATTCGTTATTTTTTCCCTATCTCACCAAAAATCTATATCTAAAGGTTCAAAGATATTTCGATATTTTTAATTTCATTTTACTGTCCGTGCATGGCTCTTTTCATAATTGTATTTATTACCATAGATCTTATCGTCATTGAAACAAGCCAAGTTTAGTTTTTCGGTGACTTTTTGTGGCGCCGGAACTAGACTAGATCTAGAAGATCTACATGCGCCGCTCTTTTTTAAAAAGCCTTTAGTAAAATTAAACCTTATGAACATTCAGCATCCCATATTTATGATATTGTCGAACCTTCTCTCTACACCCCACCCATCCCCACTACACAGCTAGGCGAATAGCTGTAACACTGATAGTATGATAACTGCTATCTCTTATCTTAGGAGCGAATTCTTTTAAACAATAATCTGAAAGTACTAAATGGATCGAATATCATCGAATGACCTATTTAAAAAACATGTAGACTACTAAATATTTTAGGCCTAGTCAAGGTCGTTGCTCTTCAGTATGTTGACCTTTTCACTTGTTTCGGATTAGCCTACATATAAAATTACAATAGTTTTTAATAAAACAATTATCTTCCAATTTGACCGATCCCCAACGAATTTTATGGCATAGATTTTTTAAAATTAAATTTCTATTTTTCAAGCTTTTAAATTTTAAATATTCTTTTAAAGTTAAAGTTTACTCAGACAACAAATTGTGTTTTTTTAAAAAACCGTTTTATCTAGGTCAACTATAATGATCGCTCTCGTACAACCTGGCAGATGGATTTGGGACCAGGAGGGAACTAAAATAAGGTTTATCTGGCAGCGACTTTCATTGAAAAGTCAAGTTATCCTTGTTCCAAATCTCCTATCGCACACTAAGTCACCAGTGTTTCTTCCAGACTTTTTTCTCCGGGGGGGGGGCAATTGAAATTTTCGGGGGGGGGGGGCGGTAAACTTTCTTCGGGGGGGCGGACACTGTTAAAAGTATATATTTTCTATATAAATTATATAAATTTCATTTCGTTCGGGGGGGCGGTAAAAATTTTTCGGGGGGGCTTAGCCCCCCCCGAAGAGATGCCTGGAAGAAACTCTGTAAGTCACTAAACTCTTTCCCCACATTAAAGTTAATTAAACTCTTGTATTATATAGAACATTTAAAGTTAATTAAACTCTTGTATTATATAGAACATTTAAAGTTAATTAAACTCTTGTACAGTACATTTAAAGTTAATTAAACTCTTGTACAGAACATTTAAAGTTAATTAAACTCTTGTACAGTACATTTAAAGTTAATTAAACTCTTGTACAGTACATTTAAAGTTAATTAAACTCTTGTACAGTACATTTAAAGTTAATTAAACTCTTGTACAGTACATTTAAAGAAAAGTGTAATTCAGGGGTGTAGTGTCAGGGGAGTAGTGTCATGGGTGTAGTGTCAGGGGAGAAGAGTCAGGGGAGAAGAGTCAGGGGTGTATTGTCAGGGGAGAAGTGTCAGGGGAGAAGTCATCACCAAAGTCATGCTCAATCCTCATCGAACCAAAGTCATGCTCAATGCTCAAGTCACAAATGTCATGCTCAATGCTCAAATCACAAATGTCATGCTCAATGCTCAAATCACAAATGTCATGCTCAATGCTCAAATCACAAATGTCATGCTCAATGCTCAAATCACAAATGTCATGCTCAATGCTCAAATCACAAATGTCATGCTCAATGCTCAAATCACAAATGTCATGCTCAATGCTCAAATCATAAATGTCATGCTCAATGCTCAAATCATAAATGTCATGCTCAATGCTCAAATCACAAATGTCATGCTCAATGCTCAAATCACAAATGTCATGCTCAATGCTCAAATCACAAATGTCATGCTCAATGCTCAAATCACAAATGTCATGCTCAATGCTCAAATCACAAATGTCATGCTCAATGCTCAAGTCACAAATGTCATGCTCAATGCTCAAATCACAAATGTCATGCTCAATGCTCAAATCATAAATGTCATGCTCAATGCTCAAATCACAAATGTCATGCTCAATGCTCAAATCACAAATGTCATGCTCAATGCTCAAGTCACAAATGTCATGCTCAATGCTCAAATCACAAATGTCATGCTCAATGCTCAAATCACAAATGTCATGCTCAATGCTCAAGTCACAAATGTCATGCTCAATGCTCAAATCACAAATGTCATGCTCAATGCTCAAATCATAAATGTCATGCTCAATGCTCAAGTCACAAATGTCATGCTCAATGCTCAAATCACAAATGTCATGCTCAATGCTCAAATCATAAATGTCATGCTCAATGCTCAAATCACAAATGTCATGCTCAATGCTCAAATCACAAATGTCATGCTCAATGCTCAAATCATAAATGTCATGCTCAATGCTCAAATCACAAATGTCATGCTCAATGCTCAAATCACAAATGTCATGCTCAATGCTCAAGTCACAAATGTCATGCTCAATGCTCAAATCACAAATGTCATGCTCAATGCTCAAATCATAAATGTCATGCTCAATGCTCAAATCACAAATGTCATGCTCAATGCTCAAGTCACAAATGTCATGCTCAATGCTCAAATCACAAATGTCATGCTCAATGCTCAAATCACAAATGTCATGCTCAATGCTCAAATCATAAATGTCATGCTCAATGCTCAAATCATAAATGTCATGCTCAATGCTCAAATCATAAATGTCATGCTCAATCCTCAAGTCACAAATGTCATGCTCAATGCTCAAGTCACAAATGTCATGCTCAATGCTCAAGTCACAAATGTCATCCTCGACCCTCACATTACCTCACATGCCCCAGTCCCACACACAGAGGCGTAGCGAAGGGGGGGGGGGGGGACGGGGGGACATATGTCCCCGGGCGCCGACCTCAGGGGGCGCCAAAATGGTTAAGAAAAATAATTTATAAATAATTTTTGGAAGGGGGGGGGTGCAAATGGAAAGATTGAGGGGGTGCAAATCGAAAGTTTTAGGGGAGGGGATTCAAATAAAAAAATTGCTCCCGAGGGGGCGCCAAATTGAAAGTTTGTACCGGGCGCCGGGAAGGGTCGCTACGCCTCTGCCCACACATAATGTCCCCTGGGACTAGACGGAAAAAGAAAAGAATTTGTCTGACCTGTTGATGTTCATCCATATCATCCATTCTCCGCTGGATAACATCTGGATGGTAGGACGGTCCTTCACCATTCCCTCATGCACTGTGTTGGAATGTAGGACGGTCCTTCACCATTCCCTCATGCACTGTGTTGGAATGTATGAGGGTTGTCCGACTGCTGTGTCCGTCCACCCATCCACTTGCTAGTTTCTCTCGAGAATAGAAGCAGCGACGACAAGGTAAATAAACATTGGAGGCAAGGCCATTCATAAATTATGATCTCACATACATGAATGGATTAATGTTTTGATAAGGACCTAATAAGTTATTATCTATATGGAGCCCATCGTAAGTCCAACACTCGGTGCTATGAACTTGCTACTATTT